TTACTATTTTAATGGTTCAAGGAGCACATTACTACGTTTAGATAGTCGACGGTATAATCGCGAGTCGTGTCCGTACCGCGACTTCGATGATTTAATGGCCATCGTTCCTGGTTTATTTACCTTATATGGCTTATAATATTCTTTTGCGCACCCCGACTATGTAGTCTCCGTATTATCGCCTATCCGTAAAACCATCGCCTTTTCCGTCTTCCTCCACTTTATCGCATCGTTCATTTGCTAAGTCACAATCTTGTTATGATTATTTCCGGAAATATTAAAATAACGACCATCGTCGTCTCGTGTGTGTTTACAGTGGCAAATTCGGATTGTGGCTCGACGGTGACCTGAACCAAGGCCGGACTGAAGCGTGCAACACGTACGGCAACGAACCGTTGGTCAACGAACAAGATTTTGTCGTCAAAATCCTCGAGTGCTGGGCGTTCCTATAAAATTCGTCGTCCGGTGTAATATTATTGTACGCTGAAAAATACAACACATCCTACACACATACACACCCCACATACATACACACCCCACACACAAACACAAAATTCGCGTTATTATTTTATATTTTTTTTTTTAGGTGCTAAACTAAATTATATTTTAACGATGACGACTTCAAAAAAAAAAAAAAAAAAAAAAAAAAAACAACACCGCACCAAAACTATATACTATATACCTATTATAATGTATATCCCTCTCACTAAATTATTATAAAACGCCGTTCATAGCATCATCTTTGTTCGTTTTGCGTGCATACCAACACTATAATAAAAAAAATATATATATTATTCCTATATCATGCGAAAATACGTTAAAAAAATATAACATAATATCATCTTCATCGTCGTAGCAGCGGCCGATATTTTTATTAGCGCTCATTCGGAAGTGAATTAATTATTATTGTATAGTAAATTAATCATTATTTTTTTAGGTATATACGTATCTTGTATAGCGTATCATAAATTATAATGATAGTATAGTAATCGTCTAGTCTCTCGGCGAGAGTTCGAGTGTCCCCGTCGGTGTTGCCTCGCAGTCTACGAATAATTCCGAAATCCCCATCCTCCTTCCCCTACCCCCCTAAACTATACCGAATCGTGCCCACCGGCAGCACTGATTATGGGTTTTTTATTTATTTTTTTTTTTTTCAAAATCTCACGTCCAGGGACCACCATTATGTTATGTAATTATATTGTACTAGTCATCGCGCTCACAGCAGCAACAACAAAACAAAAAACTTACATCCGATAAAACAAACATAATTATTATATCATTCGTTTATAGACAATCATCACAACCATCTCACCACCAACAGTTGTCCCGCCGCCGTCTGAATCTCTCCATACCTAATTATTTTATTATTACGGTTTTTTTTTATATATATATATATATACATATATATATATATTATATTATTCTTTTGTGTTTTGTTTTTTTGTACGTATTTTTATGGCAACACTGAGTTTACCGGGCGCTACCGCCACCGCTGTAGTCCGTATTGATTATTATTACAAAAAGTTAATTTTTAAACGATATATATGATAATAATGTAATACTGAGAAAAAAAATTAAAACCGTTAGTACGCGATTAATAATAATAATTGTGATAAGTCTCTTGCGACGACGGCCTATAAATGTAGTATTATTATCGTAAAAAAAAAAAAACAAACAAAAAAAAAAAAAAAAAACGTATATATGTGCTAGAGCGTCTAAGTAAAAATTAAGAAAAAAAAAATAATGTTTAGACTAAGAAAATTTTTAGATGTTTTATTAACCATATTATCATATTGATAAATTAATAAATTAAATACATAAATAATAATCTTATATGATAAAATACCTCTAGCAAAAGTCAATTCCGTAGCGATTAAGTGAAAAGGGTAATATTGAGAAGGCGAATTTAAAAAAAAAATTCTGGAAAACATTTTAAAGCGAAAAGTTAAAAAAATAATATTATTGTTGTAATACTAAATCGTGTGTTATTGTAATCTTATAATAATAATAATAATAAAAAATTAGAAATGCGTCATATAATTATTATTATTCATTATTTTTCGACGAATATTTATTATTATTGTCTTATCTTTATTATTATCGTTATTTTTTCATTGTAGATAATATTATTTTTTATCACTATTGATAGACTTATGTTATTATTATTATTATTATATGTAATTTATTAATTTTATTTTTAACAAATTATTAAAACACTATTATTATGCGTTGAAAGATTAAAACCAGAGAAAAATTAATAATTAACGCCTTTTTTTTTTATTTTCTAGAGAAAGCGCTTTATGTTTTGATTTTATTGTTCTTTTCTTTTCTTTATTTAATTTTAATTTTAATTTATTATTATTATTATTATTTGTTTATTTGTTTATTTTGAGTATTTTATAGATGGTATTATTTATATATATTTGAAAAAAAAATTATATTATAATTGTTACTGTTGCGCAAGTGATTATTATTATGATTATGACGTGAAAAATAAAGTTAATGTGTAACGTTGATAACTGTAATACCACTAAATATTATTTAATTATTTGCGTGCTGCAACCATGGGTTTCCTCATTCCTCACCCTCCTCACCTTTGGTGGTCTAAAAATGACTATACATTTTAATTAATAATTATAGATAAATTTATTTTAACACAGACCTATTTAGTAGTTCACACAGATGAAGGGGTTAGGGTTGCGACCACCCTCTTCACGGAAATATCTTCCTTCGCTACATTTTTTAAATCAAGTTTTATATTCAGCAGCATATTTTATATCTCCGAATAAAACAATACAATTTAATTTCATCAAAAATCATTTATTCAATAACAATAGTTATAGTACTGTACTGAATACTGATAACATGTGATTTACTCAAAGGAATTATTATAAAGACAAACCCCCTTCTCGAAAAACATTCTGCGTACACTACCATATAGATCTATACTTTATGGACCTTGTGTATAATGCCACCCAGTCGAAATTACTGAAAAATTGAATCAGGAGTCTTAACTGATAAGAACATAGAATTTGGTTCCCGAAGTGTCTTCGATAATCTGTTTATAAGAACAGATTTTGTAATTGTTCAAGTATAATAATTAATAATATAATTTAGTACTTCATTGAAAAAGAAAAAATTTAATAATAAAAATAATAAAAACTGAATAAATAAAAAAGTTGTTCCATTAGAAGGGCAGTATAACGATTTATAAATATTATTGCTACGTGTTTTCGTCCTCAGTTTCTCCAAACTTACTAGTTATATGGAAATTTGGAATAGAGCATAACGTGGTATCATTGATAATAATATTAATTACTATCACTTTGTTTATCAGATGAACGTTAAATGAACGAAAAAAGTCGTTAACGTTCGTGTAATAATCGAACGCGTTCATGGCTCGTTCATGCAAAATATAACGCGTTCTTTCCATAAACTCTCTGACTCAGTTGACTCTCCTTTTCTCCTTGCACTTGTACATTTTAAGGTACTGACTCGAATCATCCGGAATACTCTTTTTGTTACTCCACATTACCCAATCAATTATTTGAGAAACGAGCCTCTCACCAGGATGATGCGAATAGTCAATGATGGTCTGTTATTCCTCTTCTAGATTAATTTTTATTTATGTCTTTAAATTGTTGTATGTACCCTACTTTGTCATTATATTTTGGGCTTGGCCGATTTATATAGTGAACCAATAGACAAACTAACCCCAACTAGTTTTAACATTTTACTTGTAACTTAGAACTGATTAAGCTAATACCTAACGTTTTTGTTGTTTCTTAATAATTTAATTTGTCATTCTAAGCTGTGTATCACGTTGTTATTGTTGTTAATGTTATTTTATAAATTGGGCTCCAGACCGTTATTTTTTTTAAATAAAATAAAATGATTCGTAATTCGTATACCTTGCACATAATCAAGAAGACTACCAAGAGAATATCAATTTTTTAGAGCTTCGTTAAAAACAAAAACAAAAAATAATCCATTTTGAATATCTAAACTCCATGGGCTAAATAAATTGTTTACTATATTAGATTCTGAGTGAAGTGAAGAAGCTTATGGTTTTACAAAGATGTTTTTTTTTTCTGTGGACAACTTTTCTACAGTACCGGATAAACCGCCGGTGCAAACGGTACATTGCACCGGGGCCCCGTCTCTTTGAAATATTTGGGGACCCCCGATATTATGGATATCAAAGTACCATAAAATAAATTAGATACTTGACGAAATGTATGTTTTGCTTTTACAAATAATAGTTTAGGTACCAGATTTTGGTTTGAAACTATTTTTAATCTATTCCCATCGGTGGTGAATGTTTAATGTTTGATCGATTGTTTAATACTGGTTTTTCATACACGTTATCGTGTTCGATGATAAATGATACACCGATTGATACAAGATAACGTTTACGTCACGTCACATTCGGCGCAGCGCGACTGAATCCAAAAATAGATTTATTGAACATTTCCAATAGTACGATAACGAACAATGAAAATAATATTATTTTTATAGACGCATATCACATTACACAAATATTATTATCAAGTTAATCAATAATCGACCATCGTGTTGTCATGATCATTTTAAATTTATACTACGACATTAATTTCACGTTGTCCATTGCGTATCCGACATCCGGTATCATCCTTTGGCGGTTTAGTCTATTGTGTATTTAAATAATATCTTTATATTATAAATAAATATTAACTGTGCCACCAAAAGCTCTAAGCGGCGAAGCCAAAAAAAAAAAATCAACAGTTTCTTCGCAGGCAGTCAGCATAATAATGGTACGTATAATTTACAAAATAGTTTTATGGCTGTATACTTCAATCTTTATTTGTATAAATAACTACCAAATAATTGTTTACTCAAAATAACAGAACGAACAAGTATACTTTACGAATATGTACAATTTTTGCCGCGCTCGCGTTTAGTTTGGAAGTTAGAGACGATTGAAGTTCGCCAATGTCGACATAAGTGCGGGCTTGGCGCCGCACGTCACCCGTGAACGCTGAGTACTTCGCCACTCTCCGTATAAAAAAAAAAAAGTCAAAAAAATCTATTCTGTGCTTATACAAAAATAACTTATAATCATGGGCGGAGTGGCTCAATAATTCTAAGCGAAAAATCAAATATTTTCCGGCCACATTTTCAATTAACACTAGCAATAATGATTGCTCATCGTTTAAACACTGTCAGGGATTCTGACAAAAATTCGTGTTACGGACACTGGTACCATGATAGCGTTTCATCATTCTCACAATATTCCTGAAAAATAGAAACGGATTTCTGTACGAAATAGTAGAACATACGAAATCTACAACTGATTTATTATATAGCACAGCTGCAGATAAGGTATTTACTTCATGTTCTTTTTTAGCAATAAGTATTGTTTTATATTGTTTATTGTTTATTTATGTTTTGTTTCAAGAAATTTAAAACAGAATTGTAAAACGAAAAATAGCCCATGATTATTAATCGTATCTAACGGCTGTAACGATGTATATTTACGTACTTATAGGTTATCGCATTGTAGAAACGCTTCCGGACGTCAAATATATCCATTACTTGAAACGAAATATTGTGTATAAATTATTTTTAATGTCAATAATAGCACATTATCTATAATAATCACAGGTTATTAACGAAATTACGTGCTACACAAAAGACGACGCTTGTGTGGAAAATTGTCAATTCTATAAAAACCATACCAATTATACGCGGAAGAATATTAGATTTTAAATATTAATTTTATTCTTAATTCGGTATTATTTTAGATAATGTTCATCAATGACTTTATAGGTACCTACATATGTTTGGCAATTATTCTTTCGGACAATAAAACTAAATTGTTTAAAACCGTTTAAAGTTTTTATCATGATTCGAATTCCGTACCGAGTGCAAAGGTTTCGAGACAATTTGTAAGAGCAACCGATTATAATTTATGTTAAACCCGATGCGCGACGTTCAGTCTTTACGGTGATAAATCAGTTCAGTTCACACATACCTATACATAGATATAAGAAATACGATCATCACTTAGACTAAGTATTTTATTCTACTCGATCAACGCGTGGTCCGAGATGCGTTTCAATAATCATTTTAAATTGATTTAAAATAATTTACTTATTACTATTGTTCACTGTGAATTGAAACTTACTTACTGCGAAACCAAGTAAGTGTTTAATACGTTATTATTTACTAATAAATATTCGTACCTTATTGTACTTTAACAAATATGCATCGATTGATTTTAAAATAAATGTTTTGATATAAAGTGTATGCGGTATTCGTTTTATTGTAAAAAATGTGTTTTTTTTTTTTTGTCTGTAACAACATTATTTCTACCAGAAATCTTGGTCCGATTTTTAAATGTAATATCTTTTCTAAAAGCGAACCTAGGATCTTTCAAATGCACCACCATTTGAAAGATCCATTGTTTTGATTTTCCTTATTATTTCCCTAATAATTAGGAAAACCAAGACAAATTGAGAATATCTATTATTATATTATAGCCTAATTTAAACGTGGTGATATTTTCAAAACATTCGGGAAATTGTTGAGCTATTTTTGAACCATTTAACATTTTCGGGGTTTTATTTGGTTTAATGTGAATAAATTATTATTCTTGAGCCATCAAAAATTGTCGAAAATTTGACACAAGTTCATCATAAGTTGTATTTTAGCTACTGGTAAAAAAAAAAGTTTAATATTTTATTGTATAATGTATAATATTGTACTATTTAATTTTTCTACGCATTTTAAAATCAAATTTGTATGACAATTTAAACAATTTTGGATTTTAAGATATAAGGAATCAAACTACGCTCAGAATCGTTTATTGTTAGCATTGATTTATTGTTAAGATGAATTTCTTACTTTTCACTTATTTCTCAATTTTTATTTTCGCTGTTTTTTTTACGATTTTAACTGGAACCAGTGGCATACTTAGATAAAAATGTCCCGGGGTTAACCCTTCCAATTTTGATAAGTAATAAGGAGATAGGGTGAAACACATTGTGAGTTCATGATCAATCTATGATAATAGCTGAGATAATATTGTCAGGAAACCCAGTGGCGTAAACAGAACTACTAATGTCTTCACGTGTCCAATAATTTCTTGGGCCTTGACTTAAGAACCCTAAATGCCACCCTATTGCTACCTCACTAAGGACACCCTACAAAAAAACCAAGTACGTTACTGATTGGAAACCGTAGTGCATATCTTTCCAACTTTTATCTACATAAGTGACACACTTCTTGACAGTATATCAATTCTTTTTAACTTTTGATTTTTTCAATGCTCGAATTGGAAAAATAAAAGAAAAGGAACTTTAAGACTAAAAAAGATATTGCGTCTCTAACTCCCCCGATTTTTAGTAGAAAATTTGTTAACATATAGAAAATAAAGAAAAAAAAATCACACACATCATAGTAAAATCAATTAATGCGAGGTACATTCCTCACTTCACTCAGAATCTTCAAAATCGAATATTAAATGTGTACTTGATAATTTATAAGCGTTAAAAGTTTAAAATTGAATGAAACTATGTATTTTGATAAAAATGCAAAAATATGTACTGCCCAATGCATTCTAATTAAAATAATAAGTGTAGAGGCGATGGCGTAGCCAGTGGAGTGGGGAAGGGGGTTAAATTATTACCCATCCCAATATTTTAAAAAATTTTTTTAACGAATCTCACGTAATAATTTTTATTGCCTAGATCAAATAGCAGTATTTCTCAAAAACTGGAATTAGGCACTAAGATTTTTATTACGTATTTTAGACTTTAAGATCTATAGCGAGTAGCAAAGAAGCTATAATTTTTACTAAGATTTTTTTTCTTTTCGGAAACTACATGTTTTTTGTTAGTAAAAATATTCCAAATTGTTCACATCGTACGCTAAAAAAATGTTCAATAAAGGACGATACTTTAGTTTTCTGTTTTTGATTGATTTTCGAGTTATCTTATCAGACAAAAAAAACACGACCCAGCGCATTACCAGATTACCATTCTTGAAATTATTTTTTGATTGTAATGATTCATCGTTGCTTTCAGTGTGTAAACCAAAGACTACCTTATTTCCTATTCCGAATCTTCCGACCTACAGCAATGGTCAATGGTGCAAAATATGTTATGCGTGTTTTATTATTATTATTATTACTTAACTCGGGACTCATATAACCCACGAAGCCCGCAAATGATGTTAAATTTTCGTGATGTTTCAATAATATCCATAATTTTATTTTATTTACTTAATAAATTATAGTCAGTTAACATCATCAATTATATCAGTATAAATATATAATGTACACAATTAAAAATTACAATGAAGTAGTCAAAGTAAACACTCTGCACTACTCAGCGATAAACGTTTACATGCTGAATTATGAATCTCAACCACACATTTGCAAGCTGATATCGACAAATTATTCACAATTAATTGCAGCTACAGAAATCACATCAGTTTACGATTTTATGTTTTAAATTTTTTTTCTTAATAGCAATTTTATAAAATTCATTGAGGTTTTTTTATTAAGGTGGCTCTGGGTAAAAAGTCTTCAAAAATACAGCCCTCATGGTTAAAAAGTTTCACCATAAAAATACTTATACTTCAATTTTTTTTTCATCAGCCATAATTCTGTACCATTATTCTCATGTAAAGAAATAAAAAGTGTTAAGATCAATTTTAGATTCTAAGTAATAAAGAATATAGTATTATTTCTATTTTTTCGGAAAACTTTTACGGTAAAAATGCTCCGATTTTTCAAATCATGTGTATGAAAAGATTCTTATTTTTATTTAACATAGTATTCTAGTCGAAAATTGTTTCGTAATTTACATCATTTTTTCCAAAAAAAAAATATTTTTAGATAAGGCAAATCCTCGAATTTGTTTACATTAATGATTTTTGATTTTGTACTTTATTTGAATAATTTGTTGACATTTTCAGCAATTCATTGCTATAATACCTTATGTCTTTTGTTATTGTTTTTTTGTTGATTTCTGGGTTACATTGGTAACAAAAGAAAAACACCATTATTATTTATAATACTACATTACTACTTCACTTAAAATCATTTTTTCGTTTGCAATGATTTTTCACTGGTAGTTAAGTTGTACATCCTATAATGACTTCCCAACTACTAATCTGCAACAGTAGCTTACTCGTGAGCAGTCACATGTTTTTAAAATGCATAACCTCCCCCATGCCCGAAAATAAATTCTGATTCTGTCACTGAGGTACGCCAAAATTTCTAATAAATTAATGGAAGTTATACTCTCTCTCCCCCCCCCCACAAATCGAAAACTGGATTTATCATTACGTACCTAGCATGGAATTAAACCTATTTAAAAATATAAGATACGAGTATGACTACTCGTATTCCATTATAAATGCAATCTGTACCTAATTTACTTCTTAAATGAAAAATACGTATTAAATAAATCAAAAGTTGAAGATTATTTTATGATTTAATTGGTTATAATATCGTCGGATTTATTTTATGACTAATAATTTTAATTGCATTTTCAAAGGTTGCACAGATTAATGGGTACATACATAATTTTAGTCTCTATGTAATTTTATTTTATTGTTTTAGGTAGAATATGGATGGCAAAAAAACATTTGAACTGCCTCGGCATCCGATAGCTAATTCAAATATTTTCGAAATCCTCACATTCAGGTAAATTGATTTAAAACCTGAACAAGCCTTAATATTGTACTTATAGCTGTTTGGCTATAATCTCTTGTAGATAATTCAAGTTTTTTGAAATGAACAATTAAATTTTTTTTTTCCTTAATCTTTGCTCATAAAATAGTATGGTATATTTCATTATGTGTTTTACACTTTGTGTTTTTATCACTCATTTAATAATATACAAAGATTATTTAGATTATGACGTATACCTATAATTTCGTATACCAATCCTTGAATTATAAATACTATCTACAATTTCGATACCGACTAGGGTATACGGACGAGACATTTTGATTTTAACGGATGCATTTTGATTTATTATCTGTATTTTATATTGTTTTTAGCTGGATACTAAACCTATTCAAAACAGGAAGTAAAAGAGACTTGGAATTAAACGATTTGTACTCTGTGTTAAACGAACACAAGTCATCGTCATTAGGCGATGATTTAGAAAAGTAATTAAATATTTTCTACGGTAAATTATTATTTATCTTCAACAAATTAATCATAAAATCTCTGGTCTAAGAAAATGGAGATCAGAACTAGTCGACGCAGATAAGACTGGTCGGAATCCGAGTTTGTTAAGAGCTTTGATTAAAGTATTTGGCACTAATATTATGTTAAACGGACTAATACTCGCGATTGGTGAGATTATTATCAAGTAAGAAGTGAATTATTTAAATAAATATTTTATATTTGCAATAGTTTTAACTTTTTTACAAAACTTTAAAAGGACACAACATTGTTAAGGTATTGTTCGATTGACAATTGATAATGATCTTTTTTTATATATAATTGTAATCAAATTTAACCTTTTGGTTTCATAATATTAATAGATACCTCCTATACCCACTATTTCCAGCTACAAAATTCGAAAAATCGATTTTAAATCCATAAAAAAATAAATCTTATCTTGTAGGTATTGAAAATATTGACTAAGTATTACTTTTATATAATTGTAAACTAATTACCTAGGTACTAAAAGTTACAAGTTACGATGTTCTACATAACATAATTTAATATATCTTAAACCATGCTACACATAAATAATCATTAAAAATTCCTTCTGGATTACATTAGATAGTCGGTTTAAATCCTTACAGTCTAAATAATAGGCTTATTTTGGTTCTGCAGTTAAATGAAAAAGTATATCTTTATTTATTCTAATTAGTAGACTGTGTGGCCAAAACATGCATTTCTAAATTATTTTGTAAATAGTTGATGACTCTGTCATAATCGAGAAAGAAAAAAAAACGTACCTAATTGAAAAACTGAATCATATTTTTTTTCTCGTCATACTTTTCATATTATTATTGCAATTGGTGATTACTTATTACGAATAGTAAATACTAATAACTAATAATATTAACTATTATATAGTTTATTACACAGTATAGTTTATTACACAGTATATTTTATTACATACTTATGATGGACATAACAGAATCTGATGATAATATTATTGATGCAACACTATCATAATGGAACCTACAATAATATAACCATAATAACTATAATAATATATTAGGTTCAGTAATCCGGAATCGTCATTTTTTCCCGAAAGCTAATGTTGAAGAAATGTTTGTACAAATTAGGTAGGTTACTGCCTAACTCGGGTATTACTCGAGAAACGTATTAATATTCACTGGATTTTCTTCAACAAGGTTCGCCAGAACTTTAACAACAACGTTTTGTTGATATAGGTTTATCAACGAAATTAAGCGTAGGTATTTATTATTTTCGCTGCAACTGTCAATATAAGTTTATAATATAATCATTAATCAATATATAGGACAATATACGTGCCGAGTATTCGATTAAATGAAAAATGAATAATTATAATTGTTAATCTATTCATCACACTTAGTCTAATTAGTAACCAGTAAACAACTCGCAAAAACGTTTTCTGTAAACAATTTATACGCATGATTGTACGTCAGAACAAGCCTAATATTACGATTAAGATTTTAAAACCGGTTCTAATATTTGCCACCGCCATGAGACCCTGTCAAATTGGTAAATTCCGAATTTATTGATTTAATAAAAATTATTTTGTTCATCTAAACTGTGCAAACTAAAAAACGTGTAGGCAAGTATAGTTTTATCGTTACTGTCCTATATAAAAACCAATTAAAGTATCTCACGTGAAAAACATGCAATTATTAGGTATTTTCGTGCGTACAGTAAGTATCGAAAACATAATAATGCTACTATTATTCTACTTATCATAAAAATGCATGATAATTATTGTTGTAGTTCGTTCAAATGTATCTCTATCGTGATTATTTCGTTTATCTTGAGCAATAAATTATATGGGTGTCTACTTCATGTTTGGATGTACCCTCTATACAATACATAGCATTTTGATTACCAGCTATTATTTAACAATAGCACGTAAAATAAATACGACTCTACTATTATCTTAATAATATTTTAATGTACAGCTTAAAACTAAGCAGCAGACAATACAATTAATAGAGTAATAATATTACCTATACCATATTTGTATGAACCATTTAAAACTCATTGATTCTAAATATCTGAATTTACATAGACTCTTTATCGAGTTTAAATAATCGTGTTCTTTAAAACATTGCCACGTGCACGAATAAATTCTTATAACATAATAATATTAATATACCTATTATTTCTTATATATTAGTCAAATATGTTTCAATATTGTTTTTTTAAATGCACGAAAGTTCAGAATTATTGTTATCATTAATGAAAATATAATTAATGCCCGACACATTTTAAAATATCAATAAGATTAAAAATGCAACAAGAAATGTCTAATAAAATAATAAAGTAAAAACAAAATTATTAAAATAATTAACACTCGTAAATAAATATATAAATCAAAAATGTCTATAGAAAAATATCGTTTATAATTTTTTTATTGGAGCAAGATTTCAGGTAGAAATGTGGCTCACAGACACAATAATTAAAAACAAAATACAAAAACACACATCATATAGTAAAACCAATAGATCCTTTATCGCTACGCTCCGAATCTAAAATTAACTACGTATTTGTCGAAATTTGTCAATTTAATAATATTTAAGTTTTCAATGGATATCAAACTGGCTGGGGCCTGGTGCCGTGGCACGATATCCACCCGCCGCTATAGGAGACTCCAATTATTATTCACTTGATGGAACCTCTTTATATTACCTCCTTTAATTATGTATACATAGAACTTTGTTTATAATATTCTGCATGTATCACTCCACTCATTTATTCAAAATTTACGAGATACGGTTTTATTAATAGACATAATATTATTTGTATATATTACCCGTGTACCTATATAGAGTATCTCAGCCTTTATTCATTGGCAAACTATTGTTGTATTTTCATCCCGAAAAGAATGACAAAACCGACAAAACACACGCGTACGTTTACGCATCGGGTCTGATAGTTTCGTTGTTAAGTTCAATGGCATTGTATCATTCGTCGCAAATGGCAATGTTTCACTTTGGGATGAAGATGCGAATCGCTTGCTGTGCGACAATATACAGAAAGGTACGCTACTATTATTAAATGTTAATTATTATTTTTCTACCTCTTCGCCGCCTTTGTTCCACGCTCATTCCGAGTTCGTATTTATGTAGGCTTTACGACTAAGTAAGGCGGCTCTCAATGAAACGACGGTCGGTCAAATGATAAATTTATTATCAAACGATGTAAATCGATTCGACACGTCAATGCCGTACATGCTTTTTCTATGGATCAGTCCTTTGCAAACCGTTGTGGTCACGTATTTCCTGTGGCAGGAAATTGGTGTATCGTCGGTATTAGGACTAGCCGCAATAATTATGCAAATTCCATTGCAAGGTTAGATTAGGTTAAACAAAATGTATTTATTTATTATTTTTTAACGACAAATCAAAATAAGCAAATTTATTGTATTACAGGATGGTTGGGGACGAAAACGTCTAGATTTCGTATGAAAACTGCTATGAAAACCGACGAGAGAGTGCGTTTGATGAACGAAATCATTGCCGGTATTCAAGTGATCAAAATGTATACGTGGGAAAAACCGTTCGAATATCTCGTACAATGCGCAAGAAAGTACCTATATCTAAATTAATTTTCAATTCGCTCAATTAAACAAAATAGACTTATCATCGTTATAATTTTTAGGAATGAAATCGATCAGATAAGAGGCTCGGCCATAATAAAAGCTATCTGGGTGGCTTGTATGTCGTTCAATACGAGGGTTGCGTTGTTTTTCAGTATATTTTCCTACGTGATGCTGGGAAACTATATAACCGCGCGAAAGGTGAAACTAACCATATATGGTCAAATTTTGAAAATGAAACAAAAAAAACGCAAATAAACTAATCATATTTCTGTGCGTATAGGTCTTTGTCGTGACGTCGTATTACAGTCATTTACGGCTCACCATGACAATACTATTTCCTCAAGCTATTGGACTCATGTCTGAAGTATTAGTATCCATCAAACGTCTTCAGGTATGCATAAAAAAAATAACATTGTAGACCAGTGGTTCTCATCCTTTATTGATTCATGTGACCTTTATTGACAATAATCCAACATAATGCATAACCCATTGAAATTTTAGGATATTCAAGGAGCGGTATCGTTGAAAAGTGAGTGATGGGGAGGGAATATTACGTTGTTCGGACGGTGTTAGTAGTTAATTGACAGCAACGGCAATAATATGATTTTATTCTAAAAAATTTAAAGTTTTCTAATTTTTTTTTTCTCCGATGATTTCATATTTACCTCTGCTCTGAGTCCGTGTTACCCTTGTTGAGAACCACTGTTGTAAACTTTAATCAAGATTAAATTATTCTTTATAAACTATAATAATATATAAGCATACGTATTATGTTATCGGAAGCATTTTCTATTGTATGAAGAAAAACGTTTTCAAGTGGCGAATTTCTCGAAAATCGTCAAGGCGGCGAATAATAAAAACGGTACTAACAACGACCCTCAGCCCGCTTCGAAAAATCTAAACAATATTCGCGAAACGGTGGCGCAATTCAAGAATTTTGCAATAGTCTTTTCCAGTGCTACAGCCAAATGGACAAACGGTCAAACTGAAAACTCTTTAGAAAACATTAACTTGACCGTGACGCCTGGTCGATTAGTTGCAATCATCGGACCTGTCGGAGCCGGAAAGGTATTATACAGAGTGTAACACGAAGATGTGACATCTGAAAAATATATTTTTGTTCTGTAAAATATGTTAAGTTTGTTTTATTGTAATAGTTTCTAGAACGTTGCACTATGGTTCCTCAATTTGATATTTATTCCAAAAAATTTAGTTTCAAAACAATTGTTTTTACCAAATCTAAGTTTTTAAAATGTTTTGAAATTTACACAAGTCATTAATAAAATTATTTTTTATTGAAAATTTGGTCAATTGATTGATATTATTTAACGGTGCAGGTAATGAAAACAATTTGAATCATCGTAAACATCAACATATCATATAGAAAATTAAAGATTTATTATTCGTAAATATTTATAACACCAACATTTTTGTTTCAAAGTATATTTATAATATGGCCATGTTGGATTTTGTAAAAACGATTTTATTAAAATTAAAATTTTGTATTTTTAGTTTTAAAAATATATACAGTAGAAGAATCATAGCGTATCACATATGCTATTTAATAAAACAAAAGTTATTTTAGGTGACAGATCTTCGTGTACAGTTCAGTGGCGGATTTAAGGGGGGGGAGGAGGAGATACCGGCAAAATTATATTGAATATTATGATATAATAATGATATGATATTATGAAAACTGTGTGGAAAATAAAAAAAATAACCGCCTCAAAATACCAGCTATAGATCCAAAATGTTATAAAAAAGCTCTCATAGTTTTTTGATAGAAAAGTTGTTCATAGACACAAACAAAATTCACATATAGTAAAACCATTATAATATAAAAATAAATTAAGCGTATTATACCGCTTGTATTTTAATCAAATAGACCCCTCAAATTTTGTTCAATTTACCTCTTCCTTAAATTAGCTTCAGATCCGCTATTGGTTTAGCCTAAACACCTACTATACATGTCTATGTCATTAGTTGCGAAATCTTTTCGAAAACGTTATTATATATCTATATGTCATTACAGAGTTCGATAATCCAGGCGATTTTACGGGAATTGCCGCTTTCCGAGGGAACCGTTTCCGTTCGGGGTATAGTATCTTACGCGTCCCAGGAACCGTGGCTGTTTGCGGGTTCCGTTCGACAAAATATTTTATTCGGTTCACCGATGGACAAAGATCGATATAAAAAGGTATTGTAAATTAGTTCCTATTGTTTAACAGGACGTGTTTGATTGATGTAATTATTTCCATAATAAACAGGTCGTACAAGTATGCGCGTTAAAAACGGATTTTCAACAATTTCCGTATGGCGATAGAACGATTGTGGGAGAAAGAGGAGTTTCACTTAGCGGCGGACAAAGAGCAAGAATAAATTTAGCGAGGCTAGTACCTACTATATAAACGTGGAAATTGTTTTTATTATTGTTAAAAGGACGTGATACCCTCATTTACTGTCTCAGTCCAACAAACGGCTAACATTGCACAATTACACAATTATTAGTAAATATTACAGTTGTGGGGTTTAAGTTAAAATTAAAGTTGAAGTACAAGTGATATCTCCTCTTCAGTTTTCAAATTGTATTACACCTGTGTTTGGACTCTAATTTCAACCTAAACGCTACAATTTTAATTTTAAATTACGTAATAATTCTTCTAGTTGGCCTTTTAGTCGGACTTAGACAGTAATTGCGGATATCATGCAATGGCGACATTTATTTTTATTTTTTTTTTTTTAATACTTACGCATATGATTACACAAACCCTATTTAGAATTTTCAATACCACAAAAATAAACTAATCCACATATTTTCCAACAAATTTATTAAACTATACAAGAAAATTAATATATCTAATTAAATTCCATTCACAAATCATTAAGGCTATAAAGAACTTGATAATCATGATCAATTAGCTACGTAATATTCTAATCATGATTTGGGTTTTAATTTTAAGGGAATACAAAATATTAATTTAAAAATAAAATATAATGTAAACCAGTAGTACGCAACTACGCAACCCACTATCGATTATTCAGGCCAACAAATGTATTGCACCGGTCCAAATTACTTTAGTATTGTTTTTATAAATACGCAAATGTATAATTTGTTTCTTTGTTACTTTCCGTGGTTTTAAATTAAAGATTTCTATCCGTTAAGGTTTGAAGTTTAAATCGTTCAGGACAAGTTCTACGAAATTTATCTCTGTAATACCAATAATATAATACCATTGATTTTATTCTTAGAAGTTTTGTTTCAGGGCTGTTTATAAAAAAGCGAACATTTATCTGTTAGACGATCCCTTATCAGCCGTAGATACACAAGTTAGTAGACACATATTTGAAAAATGCATTAAAGGTACAAACAATCGTATTATATTAAGAAAATCTGTAGTTAACATTAATATTTATTAATAAAATTAACAGATTTCCTCGGTGAAAAAACTTGTATTCTTGTCACTCATCAAATACAATACTTGGTAGACGTGGATAAAATTGTTCTCATGGAAAATGTAAACATCAAGCTATATTATTTAATTACAAAACTTTTGGTAAATTCAAGTTATTGTCGTTCTAGGCGAAAGTGTCGGCGGAAGGTACATATGAAGATCTTCGGGCTTCCAATTTAAACTTTACTAAATCACTTCAATCTCAAGTAGAAACAAAAGTCGTAGCCGATAATAATTATTCGGATATTCAAAATGAAAACAACAGTAATGGTGTAAATTCCAAATGCTCTCTAAGCCGGCAGTTATCGATTAAAAGTTGTTCGTCGACTTTTAGCGGATGCAAAGATCTCCCGAACCCGACAGAAGTGATCGAGACCAGTTCTTCCGGAAATATTTCCTATAGTATTTATTCATCGTATTTCACCGCTGGCGGAAGAATTTATAAGATTATATTTTTTATTTTTATCTGCATTCTCACCCAAGTATTGACGTCCTGGAGCGATTTATGGGTAGCATATTGGTATAATATATTATATACATCTATACATTTTAAACAAAATAATTAGCTAAAACCAAATAAAAATAATTTTTAAACAAAAAAATGTATTTTTGTTTTGCAGGGTGAATTTAGAAGAACATGTATTTTGTGATAGGAAAATTTCGCCTAAACCGTCGACATTGAACACGTTTTTGTGGTGGACAATTTCTCGACGAACTTGCGTTTACGTTTTTGGCGGTCTAACTCTTACAATAATATTGGCTACAGGCGCCAGGGCCGCTACGTTCGTATCGGTCTGTACGACGGCTTCGATGAACTTACACACCGAGATGTTTAACGCCATAACCAGAGCTCCCATGTTGTTTTTTAATACAAATACTTCCGGTAAATGAACACTATTATAATTAAAATCGTAATTTTGTTTGTTTTTTTTTCTTTTCTAACACTTAGTGTATCTTTATACCTAGTTCTAATATATTGTATTTTTATTCAGGCCGTATTTTAAATCGATTTTCAAAGGATATCGGTGCAATCGACGATATGCTACCCGTAGCCTTGATGGATTGCATACACGTAAAAATATTAGATATTTTAATTTTGCTAAAAATATTGTAGGTACTATTGAGTATATATATATACTAATGTTATGTTCAATGTTATCGAAACCATGTTATTATAGTACGGATCGACAATTTTGGGAATTTCAACTGTCGTTGGCATCGTTAACGTCTATTTAACGATACCTACCTTGATTTTAGCGTTTGTTTGTTATAAAATAACTACGTTTTGTTTGTCGACATCTCGGAGCATCAAACGACTAGAAGGAATGAGTAAATGCTTAACGTTTTTGAACTTGGTTTATTAATTAATGCGTTTCTTATTATTTACCTACAGTGCGAAGTCCCGTATACGCGTATTTGAACGCAAGTCTACAAGGTATAACAACAATCAGAGCGTTCGAAGCGGAACCAACCTTGTCTCAGGAATTTGACAACCACCAAGTTAGTACCTATACAACATTTACCAAAATTGATTGCGGTTTATTAATCTGAACCGTCGATATGTTGTATAGGATTCACATTCGACGGCTTGGTTTTTATATATTTCTTCGACTAGGGCTTATGGCTTTTGGTTGGATTTAGTTTGTCTTATCTACATAGGCGTAGTGACTTTTAGTTTCATAGTTATCAGTGACGGTAATACTTATAATTATTATAATCTTGCGTTTTATACAAATTATCGTGAATACAGAACATTCCTATTGAATTCAGGCACATTCAGCGGAAATGTCGGTCTTGCAATTACACAAGCCTTCGGATTCGCTGGCGTTTTTCAATGGGCAATGCGACAATCGGCTGAGTTAGAAAATCACATGACGTCGGTCGAACGAGTATTGGAATATACTAATGTGTCGCGGGAAGGTGCCTTGGAATCGCTCCCGAGTAACAATTTTTTTTAAATTTTTTTTCTAAGGCACAAGTTACAATCTTGCATGTTTGTATTAATAAATATTTTAGATAAAAAACCATCTTTAAAATGGCCTATGAGCGGGCGGATTATATTTGAAAACTTTTATCTGCAATACGAGTCGGATATGCCGTACGTTATAAAAAACCTGAATATACATATCGAACCAATGGAAAAAGTATGTAAATGTCAATTCTTAATTATTATTAGCTTAATTTTTTTTTTTTTTTTATTTCCATAGGTTGGGATTGTCGGTAGAACCGGTGCAGGAAAAACGTCATTGATCAGTGCAATGTTCAGATTAGCTCTTAACCAAGGTAATATTATCATTGACGGTGTAGAAATTCACGAATTAGGATTGCATGATGTACGGTCCAAGATTTCAATCATTCCTCAAGAACCGATCCTGTTTTCGGGAACAATGCGAACCAATTTAGACCCGTTTAATGCTTACCCGGATCATATTCTTTGGGAAGCTTTAGACGAAGTAATAATAATATTGCTATATTACTCGGTGCAAAGTATTTTATTTAAGGGGTCGTCGACGTGTTCACGGTATTTTTAATGAATAACAAATTAATTAATAAGAGTAATAAGTCAAGGTAAATTTGAATTTCTAACACTATGGCTTTTGCGGAATTTAAATCAACTCGTGTGTGTGTTAAACGAGGAGTACTTTTAGTCGAGAGTCGAGTTGTACGTTTATTAATCTTAGGTGCATTATACATGTAAAATTAATAGCGACGGTTGAACAATAAATGTCGCGGTGGTTTTTAAATTATTTTGTTATTTCGGTAAATCCAACGAAACCCGATGATCGTGGACGATAAAAAATACATTACTTCTGTATGCTAGTTAAATAATAATTACTGTGTTATTGTATTGTATTTGAGGTGGAACTTAAAGGTGTTGTAGAAGATTTGCCCAACGGGCTGAACGCGAGAATGTCCGAAGGCGGCTCTAATTTCAGTGTTGGCCAGAGACAATTAGTGTGTTTGGCCAGAGCTATTGTTCGAAATAACAAAATTATCGTATTGGACGAAGCCACCGCCAACGTCGACCCACAGTATTTAACCATTTGATTATTATGACGGACAAGTAATTTAAAGTAGATTTTTGATTTTTAAGGACCGACGCGTTGATACAGAAGACTATTAGAAAGAAATTCCGAACGTGTACAATACTAACGATTGCCCATCGTTTGAACACCGTTATGGATTCCGACAAAGTGCTCGTCATGAACGCGGGTGCTGCGGTCGAGTTTAATCATCCGCATAATTTGCTAAAAAATAAAAACGGGCATTTCTATAAAATGGTCGAACAGATGGGACGTGCAACGGCCGATTCGTTACACGCTGTAGCCGCGAAGGTAAACCAATTATTGTAATCGTAAATTATTATTGCATTTTTTATGTAGTTGATACTAATGTACATTCTTTTGCATATTACGTACGTTTTAGAATTATAATATGTTGAAGCCTCCGACGATAATTATTGAAATGGATCGAGAAAACGGCAAGAAGAAAGATTAATAATATTGCATTTCGTTTTACAGATTTGCATATAATATTATAACCATTTTCCTAAAACTTGAAAATCATTAGAGTAATTTTTTTTTGTTCACAATATATTATTCATACAGTGGTGAAACAAGGGGGCTACATGTTTTATTTTTACGTAATTTTTATACATGTATTATCTATAATTGTTTTTATAATATATATGATTGCGGTATTATTATAAGTAAGACACGTTTGCCAGCAATAGAATTTCACATTATTACAAGTTTATCATTCAAATAATTATTAAATTTCATATTATTTCAGACAGTAATAAAAAACAAATAATATTTGTTTTGATAAAATCAGCTTCTTCCTCTTAAACAATCTCTGGATCCGCCTCCGTTTTCATATAATATAAATGTCTCCAATCATCTACTTCTGAAAAATGCTTAAAAATCATCTCTTTAATAATTTATTATATTTTAGATTCTGAGCGAAGCAAAGAAACTTATGGTTTTACAATGATGTTTAATTTTTTTATCTGTAAACGACTAATCGAAAAGATTGACTAATCATGAATATTTTTTTCGATTTATACTACGCCACTACAAGTTAAAATAGTAGTAATGATCCTTTTGTACATATATATGCTATATATCGGTGCAACCCAAACGGCAGCCATCCATTGTATGTTTTTTCCCAAACGGCTCCCGTCTAAATAGGTTGCACTAGTAGATGAATTCCCGAACGGCTCCGGTATTCGATACTACGCATACATTTCTCAGAGCGATGGTATACGAATACGTACGTTTGTCCATTTTGGTAACTCGATTGCGTACCTTTGTTCGACTACGTGCGATTTCTGTACCTGACCTTTGAAAATATTACGATTGCGTACAAAAATGAGTGCAACGTTGCCAACATACATTACTCAGTTTATTTACTATGTACCTATACAATTGTTATGTGAACGGATAATATACGAATACCTATAGTGGCCAGTAACTATAGTAAATTAACTGTTAAATAAAAATCGTGCGTGAATTAATAAAAAATTATTTCAAGTTAAATTTTATCAGGTACTATTGAAATAATACAATAGTGTATAGTCAATTAAAACCAAAATATCATTTATAATACGGTACAAGTACAAATTATAAATTACATTTATGAAATCTGTATACATAATATTATGTTATAAAAATTTAAAATAATTAAAACAATAATAAGATAATTTTGAATTAAAACTATTGGCACAAAACCGATAGTATAGTCAATTAAAAACTTAAAAACTATTATAATTAATAAACGAATGAATTATAATCTAAAACCTTGGTATCAATAACCAGTCCCTGCAGATAAAACATTTAATACACATTACCATCTATTTTGAATCGAGTGTACAATTGTATTACAAGTGATTATTTTTTTGGATAACTTTAATGTTGGAATAATAGTCGTGGAATATATTATTCCACGATTACTATTACGTATAAACGTATAAACGTCACAATTACTTTTATCAAACTAGGTACCTTAATGGTTAGTTAATCAAATGTTTTTCCTAAAATAACTTATTTTACAAATTGTTGACAAATTGTACGCTTGTGAACATGCTATGGCCACATCGCACTAAATTTGGGTAGGTAGAACGTACACAATTGTAATAGTGAAAAAGGTCCGTACGCAAGCGTAACACTCCCTCTCAGAGTGCTATATTTTTGTAGAAAATATTTTTTGGAAACATATTTTGTCGGAAACGTAGTTTGTCAGAACCGTGTTTATCGGAAATGTCTTTAGTCCAATAATAATAGTTTGATTATAATAAATGATACAAATTATGTTATCATTAAATATATATTTTATTGTGTTATCATTAAGGATGTAGTTTAATTACAGACCGCTATAGAGCTCTATAAATTAAACGTGTACAGCACAATTATTCTTATTAAATTATTAATGATAACAATATGTTTATCATTCATCATCATCAAAATTGTTTTCCGTCAAAATACTGTTCCAAACAAATATTTTCCAATATTTTGCACGCCCCCCATTTCTCGTAACAAAATAAGTACAGACGCAAAATTGAAAACATTCGTGTCATATCTTACTTTATACGATAAAAAGTTCTATTGAGTTTATTAAAATTATTAGAATTTAAACTTTACGTGTCAAACATTATATGCCTACATGGATTGTTGTCAAACAAATTTTATCTAGTTTATCGAATTTTATCAATTTTATTTATTTGTGAATTTGTATTGTAAAAACTTTGAGCCTTTCGGGAATTCACCTTTTTGTAAAACGTCTTATAAGGGTTACATTCTTATATATACATAGTACATGTTGTGTATGAACAAACAAAGGAGAATCGGAAATACAGACAGATTAAAAACTTTGATACGCGAAAATGATAAGCGGTTATATTGTGTATTGTGCCCCGCGGATTAAGGAGATATTGAACATGACACGGTGAGCCAGTTGTGGAGGCGGGATCAGACATATTGTTGCCATGACCTGCTTTATTATTGCATGCACATGTTTCGGCGCCTAGTGGATTATTTCATAACTACAAAAAATAAGCTAGAACAGAGTACCTATTGGTGATTCAAAGAGAAGTAGCTGCTCTCTGGTGGTAATAATTCAATATTGATGTTTAATATAATATACCATAGTTGTATACTTTCTTGTCGATTTTTAATATTTTAAGAAACTTGTCGGGAGTCTAGAATTTGTTACAAATATAGTACCACCGAGCGGAAATTCCGCATCTTTTAAGATATCTCATAACCATCACCATCATGTGGCTTTAAAACTCTATAAGTATTCTCTAACTTCTACGGTTCTGGATCATTACCTTCCAGTTTGTAGCTTCCAATCTCTTTAGATCTTATCGTATGTCATTCATCCATCGTTTCTTTATTCTATTTCATGGTAAAGTTTATGTGCCAACATCTAATATACCTGATTAGTTGACTAGATTAGATTAATTTTCAAATAAAGTTTTTTTTTTTTTTTTTAGTTAATGCTACTATGCTATTATATTTTATTATATTATTACAACTGACATAATATAATCGGTTACACAGAATACTTATATGAAACGGTACGGTAGTTTCGTTTCGAGTAATTTACTAATGTTATGTAAGTATTATAAGAACAAAATTATTTATGTATAAGTATAACGCAGCATATTTTTACGATAAAATATTTCTTTACTCAGAAAAATCCAATTGACACGATTATATTATATTTGCATTATGCCATAAATTTTGTTATTAAAAATAGTAGGTATATAATTGTTAAAATCCAACGGTGTGCTGTCACACCTAGTATTGATAATGCCGAATCTCAATACACTCGACACTTATGTAAAGAAAATAAATAAAATCATAGATAACTGAAACCGGTAGTCTCGAGTAGGTTTTTAGCTAGGTATTGAGTCGATTTAGTTCACTTTGACAGTTTTACTATTATTCTGAAACAAAACGATATAGAAAGTAGGTACCAAAAAAACCATCGTTTCTGCATCGTATTTTATTCAATATTTCAAACGTTTCGTCGATAATATTGAATACGTGTGTTTTTGGAAAAGTAAACTTATCGGATCCATATAGCATTTTAAAAGTACAGATAATAATATGAGTATAACCAGTATTACAAGTACACCGTTACACGACCAATCGAACTACTAACATTTCAAATGCGTTACTTATAGTTCCATATGACGTTATACATAATATAGTAAATTTTTCGAAAAACGATCGATTCAAATCCATTTTTTTAATTCTTACTATAGTGAAATGTGTTGCGCGTCGAACAGATGAAAAAAAACTGTTCGTTCAAATAAAGTACAACTGTAAAGATTCAAGCTGTTTGGAAACTGTACGTTTGAAGTTTGAATGAAGGAGCTGATATTTTTTAGTCGTAAGTATAATTTATACTTCTAAATAAGTATATTGAGCGAAAATAAGGGTTCATTTCGATATAAAATCATCGGTTTAAACAAGATTTTGATGTTAACTGCAGACATATATTACAATATTGTCGCGTTCAATTATAACTATTTTGTAAAATTATTAACAAAAACTATTACTTACCATATACTTATACTCATAATCAAATAATCGAATAGAACTATATGGTGTAATAAATTACGTTACGTGTAAACGTAATCAATTATATTATTTATAATTATACTTCAATCGAATCAATGATTTATTTTCTCCCTCATATATAAACAATGAACGTTTGAAATATAATAAAATATTATTGTTTTAGATTAAATATGGACGCTGGTAATCAAGTCCGACGGCCTCCTCATCCCAGAGTCAACGCAAATATATTTGAAATACTTACGTTTGGGTGAGTATTATAAACTATCGAAACATTTAAATTTAAGCGCAATAATTCAATACCAATAAATATAAAAAAACTCTTCAGTTGGAAATTTTGGAATTATAATTTTAAAAAAAGGGATTAATCTATGGTTATTTTCATTAATAATTCAAATTTAATGTAATAATATTTGAATATATTAAATGGAACTTTGCGATATGATTTGCTAATTGTTACCATTTAATTATCTTGTATTACTTTGTTTTGTTGTTCTGTACTATTCTAGAAATTTTATTTGTAATATTTAATTTTTTTTTTTTTTTTGTTTATTATTGCTCTTTTTAATACGTATTATTTTTTATTTTATAATGTAACTCTCTACCACCATTACCACCATCTCAAGCATTTCGCTTAAAGGAGATAGATATTTTATTGTAAACATTTTTAATATTTTGTAAATTATTTTATTTATGTTACAATAAACATTTAAAAAAGAATAATAATAATAATATGCGGTGTATCACCTATTAAAATGTAAACTTAAAATACTTGTAGCTAACTCTGACAGCTACTATAGATATTTTAAACGTGTTTGTTTCCATTTAAATGTTAGATGGACTCTCAACCTCTTCAAAACGGGACAACTAAGAGATTTAGAATTAAACGATTTGTATACAACATTAAATGAACACAAATCATCGTCACTGGGCTGTGAATTAGAAGAGTAAAATAAATATTTTATTGAAATATTCATTTCAATTTATATTATACATCAATATTTCGATCTTAGAAAATGGAAAAATGAACTTTCTAAGGCTAAGGAAGCAAATCGAACGCCTAGCTTAACGAGAGTTTTAGTTCAAATGTTTGGAGTTCAGTATCTATTATACGGGTTATTGCACTCGGTACTTGAACTTTTTCTAAAGTAAGGATCAAATTATAATATACTTATACCTATAAATTATTAGTTTTAACGTTTTAAGTTTATTAATTAATCGTATAAAAGATAGTTATTTGTTTGTATTTCTAAATCACACGATAATAGTGTTCTATCATTTTCATTTATTTGGTATACCAATAGACCTATTAACCTTAGGTTAATAGATCAATAGGTATACCTTATGGTTGAAATATACAAGATTATTGCATATATACCCCTTATCAATCAAATATTTGATGATAAAAACAAAAATGGCAACGTAAAGGGATTCAATAATAATCAATTATATTTACTCTAATTTTCTGTTTTCATGATAAGAAAATTGAAATTTGTGATATACTGATATCCCTTTACACAGCCATTTTGTACTTGATGATAACAATCCGAGTCTATATCATAGACTCTATGGTCTATGTACAATAATCTTGTATATTTCAACTATGGATATACCTGTATTTTTTGCGTCAGTAATCAAATAAATTCTATTATTCTTATTTCTTATCTTAAATTATTTGTGTGGAAAAATGTATATATATGTATTTATTTTTAACACAATACGAAAATAAATACTAATTAAATATTAATTTTATTCATGTACATACTATATAGAGGTATGTACATTACATTATAAAAAATGCATACATTTATGTGTCACACAAAAATGTAAGTACAGTTAAGATTTAAATTGTATGAAGGAATTATAGTAGCATGTATGCGATATATTCAAATAATTATGTGGGTAGATAAAACATTTTACGATTAGGATAAATTTGAATTATTTTATAACTTCTATACTCTTCTTAGGATAAAAATGATTTATTGAAAAAAAACGTCATTAAGAATTAAAATTCTATACAGTTAATTTAGTTTACCCCCACTCCCCCGGGCATTCTGTCTTTTGAATAACCTTTATAAAACGTTTTACAATTAACAAGTATCAATATTACGAAGCACTTATAGTTATAATACACAAACTCTTGTAATATAATTTCAATCGTTTATTAGGTAATAATTTAACGTACGCCACTATACGATTCATTACCAATATTAGTAATTTTAATTTAGTTATTTTTTGAAATTACTTTAATTTGAATTGGCGTTGAAAGTTCATTTCAACTCTCAAGTCTAATCAATCTTTGTTATTATTTTTATTGCGTTCATTTCCGGCGTATGAATCATGTATATATATGTATTTAAGTATTATTTCATCGTCGGCGGTCTTCAATCAATAGTTTAAAAATATAGTCTTCGTTATGAATAACTATAGCACTCCAACAATAATTATACCTAACATTCGTGACTCACACTCCCGAAAATCAAGGCCACTGCAGAGCAATTTTCACTACTTTTATCCAATTAAAATATAATTTAACGAATTTTATGCATAAATCATTAACTTATGTTAAATATTGTGTTAATAATGTTTAAACTATGGCTAAATAAACACACGTACCAGCAAAACTGTTCTGCGCATTAAGTGTGCTCCAGAAATGTAATGAACAAAAAAAAAACTCGGGTAATAAATGGTAATAAATGGTTTTATTAAAACCATTTTATTACACAATGCACATAACCACAGATTAAGATCATATACACAATAAAAAATATTATTATATTTATAATCACTAGACAGTGCACAGTTCTTCCAAAAAAAGACCTTAAAAAACCCTGAAAAACTCAAATATAAAACCACATAATGGTAAATAAAGGTCCGATTACAATAAACCGTCACTTAGTTGACAACTATTATACACCAAGTAAATGAATTAAAAATAATGACATTATTTTGTTTACAATTTTGTAGTTTTTTAAACAATTTCTAAGTATTGAAAAATAAACTTAAATAATTATTTTGTTCATGAAATAAAATATTGCTTAACACATTAATATTTTAAATTTTAAATTATTACAGAATTGATAAAAATCTAACTTCAATTTACAAAAAAGATATGAGCATAATTAAAAGCAATGTGTTTAAATTTAAAATAAAATATTTCCCTTGTTTTGAGTACACCGCTGTTGACACTACAGATATTTTAAAGATTGTGTAACATTTATTTCTTATCACACGTTATCATTCTTTGGTAAATCTGACCCACGGATAAAAAGAACTGTCTTTATCCATAATCTGACTCCATCGATAGGTGGGTGGTGGAGACATGGTTATTGTATCGTTTCTTTCAAGACTAAGACACATGCACAGTGATAAAGAAAATACGTATTTTTGTTGACATGCTTGTTTATTTAGCCATGGTTTATTCTATTGGTTAAGACACGTAATAGTTTTTTAAAAGGAACTTCTAAACTAAACAAAACACCAAGTAAATCTAGACTTAACAAATAGAATACAGAAACAAATTCTGAAAACCAATGGCTACAACCTAAGGATACCCTACCACCCAGTTATGAAAACAAATGGAACAGATGAACAGATTTGGAAGTCTCTGAACAGACTTAGAATTTGTTTGAAACATTGTTTGTTAATATAAATAAATGAGGACTTCTGGCCACTGGGTGAAGAAAATGAAATATGCTTATGTGACCAAGAGCAAAACATGGTTCACTTACTTAGGTGTCCAGATAGCACATACACTTGTTCAGAAAAGGACCTCATACATGCGAATCAAAAGGACATTGCTGTAGCCCGGTATTAGACGAAGACTGTGATTTTATAACCATTACCGGCCTGACATTAACAGAATACACTGATTTATATTAGCTGTATTTATTTATTTTATTTAATTATCTTATATAAGGTAATTAAACTATAAACTATTAAAATTTAATGGTAATTTATTGTTAGTTATAGTTTATTGTTTTAGAAAAATGACTGACGTGAACAAAAAATTATATAGGTAGAGGGTAGATGTAGGTACTTATTCTTATTAGATAAAATGTAATCGATTTCGGCGGTAAAACTCTGAAAAGGAAATCTGACTGGAATAATACTCCAGGAGTACTAAAGGAGGTAATTTGTGGATTTTCTCTGAATTTTGCTGAATAAATGGGAAGAAGCGTAGGTAAATCGGGAAAATTTATGAAATGTATTGTTTTCAATTTTTTGTTTTTTTGTTTTGTTTTATTTTGATTCAATTAAAAATATTTATAGAGGCTTGAATTTTAACAGACTTCTTTTTCTTTTTTTTAGACGTGGTAAAATTTTCAAAACATTGTAGCCGTTTTTGAACGATTTATAAAGACATTTTAATTTTACGGGGTTTTTTACGTAATTTTTGTTCGATAGATATTTTGTAGAAAAAACTGTTAGACTAAACAGAAATGCTAGACAATTTAACATGAGGTTCATTATAAATTGTATTTTGTAGTAAAAAAAAATTTAGTATAATGTAAAATTTGTTTTTATAATAATTTTAATATCAAAATTTGATGAAAACCGTTTTATTAATAATTATTAAAGAAAATAATATATATAATGCGTGTATAACTATTTTACCATAATATGTCAAAATATTATATTTTGTTAACGAACTGCTACACTAATCGAACTCTGCTCAGAATCGTTATTCGTTAGCAATGATTAATCGTTTCGTACAGATATACATTTAATTTCCCCTCTTCCTCACCTATAACAGTGACCCACCCATCGTGCGAAGTATGTACGAATATTTTACCTTTTAAATTGATCGTGTAAAAAAAAAACCACTTACCAGTATACATCAAACAATATATATTAGAGTCTAGGACAATATTGCTCTAGTATTTCAATTTCCTCGTTGAGGATCCGTTTATGTTTCCAAGTTGACAGGTTTTTATTTGTTTTTATTTTTGTTGGAAGAGGTTGAACATTATATGTCTAGTGTTATATTTTTTCGAAACAAGATGTCCGTCACGATTTGCCGATACAAAAACAAGTCCTCCGATGTAAAACAAAACCCATTCTCTCTGAAATATTGTTATAACCTAATTAATTAGATAATCATAATATTAATGGGACAAAATACACATATTGATCGTAATAATAATATTATACTTGTTTGTCTGTGTACCTGTGAAGAATGATTCAGCCCTTGTTCATCAGCGGACTGTTAAAATATTTTAGTCCCGATCAGTCAGACGACACGGATCTCACCATGGCCTACTGGTACGCGTCCGGTCTTGTATTTAATATGCTGGTGTCAGTGGTTGTGTACCATGGGATACAAATAGAAATTTTAACTATTGGCATGAAGATGCGAATCGCCTGCTGTTCAGTGATATATCAAAAGGTACATACAATGTTAATAAACAAATTTTCTACAAAAAATAAAAAAACAATTCCAAAAATGCTATTAAAATTAAAAACCGTTAGCATTTTTGTACGTATAGAGCAATAGTTTGTCGAATTTAGAAATAGGTACCGACTACCGATACGTGTATTTCACGTTAATTTTAATTTATCCGTTACCTATTTTATATCGTTTTAATCGCGTCGTACAGTAAATAACCGAATTGAAACAATTTTATCACGGACTTTTTTACAAGTGTTTCACATATTATTATAACCTAAAATAATACTAACAAGGAAAAATATCTGATACTGATGATGGGTGCGCGATTGTTGTAATTGGGAAGTTGGAAAGGTAGGATACATAAAGTTATTTAATTTATGTTTATATAAGCAATGATAAACCATTGCTAATGAAAATCGATTCTAAACAATGCTCCTTTATATATGATTTTAAAAACCGTAATATTTACGATTTTCATCAAAATTTTATTTTAAAACCATTATAAAAAAATTAATAAATTATACTGTTCGTTACAACCTCGTGTTAAATTGCTAAGCGTTTCGCTTTAGTCAAACAATTATATCCAAATTGTACCTACCAAATAAAAACTAAGTAAAAATCTAGCATACATAAAATACCTATAACAAGTTTAAAAATCGCTAAAATATTTCAAAAATACTACATTTTTCATATAGATCCTCGTTACGCAACAACGTGTTATTGTCGAAAAGTGCGGTACTAAGCATATCTAGCTAGGGGGTCCAGGGTATATCCAGGGTACACATACCGGCCGCCGAGTACTACTACCTGACTCTGAGTTTGAAAATACGCCCGCAACAATATATTATTAAGTGTATCGTATTTCTTTTTTAGGCGTTACGACTGAGTAAAACAGCTTTAGGTAAGACAACAGTCGGAGAGGTAGTCAATTTGTTGTCAAATGACGTGAACAGATTCGATATGGTAGTCATATTCATCAATTATTTATGGATGAGTCCCTTACAAACGATAATGGTCACGTATTTTTTGTGGCAAGAAATAGGAGTGTCGTCGACAATTGGAGTGGCGGTGTTGATTATGACTATCCCGTTACAAGGTTTGTACGAAAACGAATAGAATGTGTTCATCTAAATGAGTGAATGGTTAAAATTATTTTGATATTTAATTTATAAAACAATGTTTGAACTTCAGGTTGGCTGGGAAAAAAAATTTCTGAATTTCGTCTTAAGACGGCCGTAAGAAGCGACGAGAGGATACGTTTGATGAATGAAATAATTTCGGGAATTCAAGTGATCAAAATGTATACGTGGGAAAAGCCTTTTGCAAACCTTGTAGAATACGCAAGAAAGTACGTCCAAAAGTTGACTAAATTATCATTATTTGAGATGAATCGTTTTTAATATACAAAATATATACATAATGCGTATCTATTATGTATTATCATAGAAAGGAAATCGATCAGATTAAAGGTTCGTTGTACTTCAGGACCGTATTATTATCTTTTACGTCATTTCATACGAGGATAGCGATTTTTTTCAGTATATTTACCTACGTGTTACTCGGAAATTATATTTCCGCTCAAAAAGTAAAACTTATAATTTTGTATTTTAATATATATATTATATACGTAATTTATTTTATTTTAATATTTTGTAAATATCTAACTTAATTTATTATTTAGGTATTCGTTTTAACATCGTATTACAACTTATTGCGGAATACAATGACCGGGCTATTCCCGCAAGGCATTGGGATAGTAGCGGAAACAAGTATATCTATTAAAAGACTTCAGGTAAAAATCAAAATTATTTGTTTTTTTTTTATAAATAAATAAAAAAACCAGATGTACCGAAGTTCAAGAAATCGATTTTTAGAATCCAAAAACCGGCCTTTATCGAAAATCCGAATTCCAGATTCTAAAATTTGAATTAGAATTCTTTTATATTTTATTTTTATTTGAACATTACGTCCTTGGGGTCACTTAAAACCACCCCCGGAGACTTTGAGCATTATGCCAAAAATGAAAGTGCAAATGATTTTTGGTTCTTATAGTATTTTATATAACTGTGAAACTCAAAATTTGGATTTTGAATTTCAAAAATCCGGATTTATGTTAAATCATTATGATAAATACGGCAAATTATTTCCACAATTTTATTTATTATTATTATTTTTTTTAGAATTTTTTAATGTACGAAGAAAAACAGTGTCAACTAGAAGTTAATCAACCTAAAACTGATAATACGGTAAATAATACCGTTAAGAAGCACTGCAATGAAGAAACCGAACAATCAAACGAATTTGGGATAATCATTTCCAGCGCTACGGCCAAGTGGACGGCCACTCAAACCGAAAACTCTTTGGAAAACATTAATTTGACCGTAATACCAGGTCGGCTGGTTGCAATAATTGGACCCGTGGGAGCCGGAAAAGTATATTTATTTCATAATATGTTGCGAACAATTTAAATGCATCGTACATATAGAGTGATTCGTTTATTATGATCCATATTGATCCAGTGCTGCAGATGATTGTTGGGTTGAATTTGATGTCTGTTTCTTTTTCAACCATTATTGTATCGTTAAAGCTTTAAAGATTTTCATCCCTTTACTTTTTAAACACAGATTTAAATATAGAGAAAATCTTTCAAAATACGTCAATAGGTATGCATAACATTAGTATTGAATTTACTGTTTGCAAGGGTTGTAAAAATTTAGGATTTTGATCGGACGTGTAGGAAATGGTTATTATCTAAAAATGTCCTCTTCTACTTTTAAAAACGTATTCCTTTCTCACAGTTGTCAGGTTTCTTTTCGATTGGCTAATTCCATGGGATGCCCAGCCCGATAAACAAAAAAAAAGTCATTAACAATAATATAAATATTATATTTTACAACGAATGACAAAAACTACATTTTGTTTTCTTTATTTCATGGGATGCTCGAACATCGCGGCACCTCATGGTCGGTGCCCATGATTCTTCTCGACAAGAATCTGTTCAAAATGGGAGATTGCTTTTTTAAAATAAAAAGTGTAGGGGTAAAATTTTTAAAATATTGTTAAAATAAACCTTCGACGAATAATAAAAAAAAAAAACACAGAAATCAAATTCACCTAAAATCTTCCGAAGAAAACACTGAATCGTAATAAAAAAAAATCCTCCCCCCCTGAATTTATGTCACATCACTTTTATTTTAATATTTGTTTACAGAGTTCGTTGTTACAAGCGATTTTACGAGAAATACCACTTTCTACAGGAAGTATTACTGTGCACGGTAAAGTATCGTACGCATCGCAAGAACCGTGGTTATTCTCGGGTTCCGTCCAACAGAACATCTTGTTCGGTTCGCTAATGAATGAAGAACGTTATAGAAATGTAAACAATAATTGTAATACCTAACCATAATTTTATTAAATATTATTTTAGTCGTAGCAATTACCTATCTTAATTGTCGGACTTTTATTATAACATGCATAGGTTATAAAAGTATGCGCTTTGAAAACGGACTTGAAACAGTTTCCGTACGGCGATCGGACAGTCGTCGGGGAACGAGGAGTTGCTCTAAGCGGCGGACAGAGGGCGAGGATAAATTTAGCGCGGTAAGTTTAATTGTTATAATTATTTTATTATATCAACTATACAATTCGGTCGATTTTCTAAATTGTAACCGTTTTGTGCCAGAGCGGTGTACAAAAAAGCGGATATTTATTTATTGGACGATCCGCTGTCGGCAGTTGATACGCACGTCGGAAAACATTTATTTGAAAAATGCATCAAAGGCGAGTATAATAATACGTCGAAAAACACGTACGATTGTAATATAGATACGTATTGTCATTAATTGTATAGGTTTCCTCGGAGAGAAGACGTGCATTCTAATTACACATCAAATACAATACTTGACTAGTGTCGATCAAATAGTTCTTATGGACAATGTAATAATATTATATAGGTAACTGATAGTTTTGAATCGTGTACAATTCATTTTTTATTTCTTTTACAGGCTACTGTGTTAGCCGAGGGCTCATATCAGGAACTTCAAGATTCCAATTTGGATTTTACAAAATTGCTAGGTTCTTCGGAGGAAACGATTATTGAATCGGAAAACGAATCGATTACCGCGAAGAATACGATAACCAGTACTAATTTGAATTCACGACCGTCGTATAAACGACAAATCTCCAGCCAGAGTATGCTATCGTCGGCTGACGAATTAAAATTCAACGATGTCCAAGAAGCACCCGCGGAAGAAGCGGAAACTCGGGCTAGCGGCAGTGTTTCGTCTAACGTGTACACGTCATATTTCTCTGCCGGCGGAAGCAAAGTTAAAATAATGTCTTTAGTTTTCGTATGTATTTTCGCTCAAGTAATGGCGTCCGGTGGAGACTATTGGATAACCTATTGGTATTACGCACAATTATAATTATTCACTATTATTATTAAATTATTACTGATCATGGGTGCCTATTGGGCAGGGGGAAAGTAAAAGATTTACTCTAGTGGAAAATAATAAAACCCAATAAAACTTGTTTCTCTTGAGTTGTGATGTACCACGGCGTGTAGCCTGAGTGATTATATTGGTTCATGTTCTCGTAACGGGCCCCTTATAATTCCAGAGCATTGTGTACAGGTCTTGTGTTTTTATAATCATATCTTTACATTAGTCTTTAAACTTTAAATGTGTGTTTAGAAACCGAGTTCCACTTGGCTCCTCCTCTGAAAATTACCTTATGGGCACTCATGTTACCGACTGTTGTTCATTAAGCATAATTTCGTACCTATAGGATAAATCTAGAGGAGCACGTTTTTCATAGATTAAAAGCCACACATTCGTCAAACAGTACAAGAATAACATCAGAAGATAATGTTACATCCACGTCGTTATTAGGATGGTCGATTACTCGGCACACTTGTTTCGTAGTTTTTGCAGTTTTAACGTTTGGAGTGATCGTGACCACCATTATCAAAGCAACTACGTTCGTATCGGTTTGTATGAGAGCTTCGGTGAATTTGCACAACGCGATGTTCACCGCCATAACCAGAGCCACAATGTATTTCTTTAACACCAATTCCTCTGGTAAAATCAAAAACCATTAGAATTTTAGCCATCTAAACCGTGCATCCGTATATTATAAGGGTTCCTAATTATTTATTTATTTATTGTTCTAAAGGACGCATCCTTAATAGATTTTCTAAGGACATGGGAGCAATCGACGAGATGCTTCCGGCTGCCTCGATGGATTGCATACAAGTAATAAAATATATTATGTAATAATTTATTTTGAAATGTAATAATCAATATCGCTAAATGTATAGATCGGGCTAATGCTAATCGGAGTAGTCATTGTCATTGGAATTATTGACATCTATCTCATGATACCTACATTTATCGTGGCACTGATATTTTATAAACTCAGAGTTTTTTATCTGTCCACTTCTCGCAGTATCAAACGGTTGGAAGGAATTAGTAAGCGAATCGTATGGCATTTTAATCATATATTTTAACATAACATTTTAAACGGGATTTTATTTGTTTTTTTTTAACAGCACGAAGTCCCGTATTTGCACATTTGAATGCATCTCTTCAAGGTTTAACTACGATCAGAGCGTACAAAGCGGAACAAATTCTTTCCAACGAATTTAACAAACATCAAGTAAATACCTATTGTATTATGTATATATATATATATTACTTTTCCCCCGTAGCTTGTAAACCATCGTCATACCATTTCTATACTATGCCTCTATATATTTATATGCATCCTTATCCATTTGCTAGCTGTTCTCCATTCATTATTTCCATTCGGGAGCTCAAAATCTTCCCTGACTCTACCGTTGACGAGATACTCTCGATATTTTCTTATAAGATGGTTATAAGATGGAAAATATATAACAAACATAATGTATAACTTAAATTCGTTTTAATGTATACTATATGAATCATATGTCTAAAAATCTATACAGGACCTGCATTCTTCAGCTTGGTATATGTTTATTTCGGCGAATAGAGCATTCGGTTTGTGGTTGGATATATTCTGTTTTATTTACGTAACTATTATTACATACAGTTTCTTGGTCATCGGCAATAGTAAGTTAATATAATTTTACTTAGTATAAATATGTTCAAAAAAGTTGTGCGCAATATGTTCTTAAACACGATTTCACTCAATTGTATTATACGCGAATGTAATTTGTTCAATTGTATTTTATTAGATACTTATGGCGGAAACGTCGGTCTAGCTATTACTCAAGCAATCGGATTAGCCGGCGCGTTTCAGTGGGGAATGCGACAGTCGGCCGAACTAGAAAACCAAATGACATCGGTAGAAAGAGTATTGGAATACACGAACGTTCCGCAAGAAGGTCCACTTGAATCCGCACCAGGTAATATTTATTTACATACGTCACAAAAATATTGGGGAAAAATGTGCCTTTTTTTTCTTTAGATAAAAAACCACCAACCGAATGGCCTTTAAACGGAGAAATAACGTTTAAAAACTTTTATCTGAGATATAATACAAATACGGCATTTGTTATAAAAAACTTAAATGTAAACATAAAATCGATGGAAAAGGTAATACCGATAGTTATATTTTTTTCAAATATTACTCGTAGTGTTACGTAATAATATTTTGTGTTACAAATGAAGGTAGGAATCGTCGGTAGGACTGGTGCTGGGAAATCGTCTTTAATCGGAGCGTTGTTTCGATTAGCCATTAATGAGGGTAAAATTATCGTTGACGGGATAGAAATTAACGATTTGGGACTTCACGAGTTACGGTCCAAACTTTCCATCATCCCTCAAGAACCAGTTTTGTTTTCAGGAACGATGCGAACGAATTTAGATCCGTTCAACGAATACGCTGATCATATTATTTGGAATGCTCTAGACGAGGTAAACGATGAGTAAATTCAATTACATCGCCGTGAGAATTTATGAAAATTACGTTCAATACGCATTTACTAATACCAACTGTATATTATTTATAGGTGGAACTCAAAGATGTCGTTGAAGGTTTACCCGATGGCCTTAACTCGAAAATGTCCGAAGGCGGTTCAAATTTTAGTGTTGGCCAAAGACAATTGGTGTGTTTAGCAAGAGCTATTGTGCGAAATAATAAAATTCTTGTGTTAGACGAAGCCACTGCGAACGTCGATCCACAGTAATAAATAACTAACTTTTTTAGTACTTACACAAGAGTATTATCAATAGGATTAACTCTGCGTTTTTCTTTTATAGAACCGACGCGTTAATCCAAAATACCATTAGGAATAAATTCCGAATGTGTACAGTATTGACTATTGCGCATCGTTTGAACACGGTAATGGATTCCGATAAGGTGCTCGTAATGGACGCGGGCACAATGGTCGAATTCGACCATCCGTATAATTTGTTGCAAAATGAAGACGGGTTTTTGTACAAAATGGTCGAACAAACCGGGCCGGCCAGCATTGATTTATTGCACAGTATAGCCACGGAGGTATTTGATTTTTCAGATTTATTTAAAATACGAGTACCTACGAAGTGATTTTTTTTTTAATTTGTGTTTATTTTTATTTTCGCAGAGTTACTACAGGACGATTACGATGAAAGAATCCTTGATAAAATCGTAAAACAGAAATATGTACGGTTATACAATATGGCGTAGGTGTATTTCATAGTCGCAATCAATGTTCCTCTCCCTCTAAAAAAAAATAGCAGTCTGTAAGTCTATTATAAAATATCGTGATAAATTTGCCCAATAATATTATATTTAAAATTTGTTTACAATTGTGAGTTCAATAAATGTCTTGTGGTTCCCTCGAATTAGAAACGTTTTTAACACAGTAGAATTAAAAAAAAAAAATTCAAAATATGTATTTCATATTCACGTTGTTCACAATGATATACCATGTGGTATATTAATATACTATATTCATAATATGGCACAGAAATGAATGCCTATAATTTATTTCGTTTAGCATTTATGGTTCTCCGTATTACCTAAATAAAACAATATTTAGTGTCTAGATATCATAGATTTTTTTCCTAACAACAATTTTTCAAACGATTATATATTGTGTACAATATAATATATTCTTATGGTCGTATATTTTTTGTAATTTATTGAATATTTTTAATGTGCACATAAATTTAAAACTACAGAAATACAATTCAGAATATCATAAGATCATATATTATAGTTTTTTTACGAGGTTTTATTCTAGGTATGTCAACCACGCGTATTATAGTCATGTACGTGCGGAATGTCGAATTCATAATATTATGTTCCTATTCCAGGATTGAGGTATTAAAATCAATACCATTATACCTATAAGCTCGGTATCCCGTAAACCGCTGGATATTACGCCATTTTAATCGGAATACTGAAAAAACCATAATCCTCAAATTATAGTTAATTAGTTAAAATGAAAAGTGTATAATTTATCACATTTTATTTCGCGCAATAAACGTCTATAATATTTTAATTAAATGTATGCAAGTTGAATAAACAACTTGTAAACTTTTGTTTATAAATGTCATAAGGGGCCTCATTGCTAACATTTGTTTCATCCGTTTGTCTCACGCGTAATATAATTTAACAGGAAAGTCATTACGTATTTTTACGTTTTCTATTTGATGGCTGTTTGATTGAGTTTGAAACGAAGGGTGAAATCCAACACTACAAAGTATACCTAAATATGTATAACAAAAAACGCGTTATAACTTATAAGTAACATGAGTTATGGCATTTTGTTATGCATTATAGTAGCACCTGTGGTTGGGAGCTGGAATACGTCCACGGCAGTTAATGTCTGCCGTAAAAAGGTAGATAAATTCTCGTAAAGAAATATATGAGCTTTTTAAGGTTAACGAAATAGTTGAAGCGTATCACAAAATCCAATAGTTTATCGGAAAGATAAAACGAAATTGTACGAATATTAGAAATAAAAATTGACAATTTATTATTAGTAAGTTGATGAAGGTAACATAATAATTAGATGGATACAGAGAATATTTTGAAGAGATTTACGATGGAAATCAGCTGGAAAAATTGAAAATACGTTTTAGGTGAAAAATAAATAACGCTACCAACCTATTTTAAGGTCAAATTTTGACCAAACGCTCTAAGACTTGAAACAAAATTGTGAAAATACGGAGGACGATTGATCCCTCATGGACGTAAAACTACTTCTCTTATAAATTAGATTAGTATTAATTTTAGAGCCTCAGACTTAACTTTTCATCGGGGCCCCAAAATTTTAGCTACGTCACTCTGGAGTATATAATCACAACATTATTGCAATGTAATACCTAGCATAAAGATAAAAGAAACTCTCTATCAACTGTCAACCATCAACTATTATATCAATATCCCTCTATAGATGGTGGTTAGAATACATCTACGAATCCATGCCTGTCGTAAAAGTCGACTAAAATGGACTTAGGAGTGGGCAGCAGCGCTCCTAGTACTAAGTGTAGATGAAACAAGGTTACCAACATTTAGACACCAATCCTTAGAATTAAAGCTTGAACTGCAATGTGAAAGGCAAGAGGAAACATTACCATCCCTAGTTAGGCAACTACTATTTTGTCTTCTGGAAAAATGAATTTTCGCAGTGTTTTTTCAGAACGTAAAATAGCTCCCTGTTTGAATGCCCAGGTGGGAGCGGCTCTGCAGAACACATGTGATAGGGACAGGACGCAAAAAATAAAAGAGAAACAAAAAAACAAAAATGAAAAGACTAGATATAGACATATTAGGATTATATGAAATACGCTGGCCAGACAATGGTAACTTATGGTCTGGCAATATCAAAGTTATTCGTATAAAAAGTACAAAAGGACAAAATGGTGTGAGAATTGCTCTCAATAAAAATTGGGATACGAGAGTTATGAACGTAATGACTTACAATATCAGTCTATGCCTTGTCAAAAGTAAATGATGATGAAGTGGAAGAAGTATATGTGGGAATCGATGAACTGATGAAACTTACAAAGCCACACGATAATGTAATCATCATAGGGATTTTAATGCTGTAGTTGGAGAAAAGAAGGAAGATCTCTTCTTTCCCTGCCTTCCAACTTCTCTAAATTGGTGACTACGGCTTAGGTAAAAGAAATGTAAGAGGAGAACATTTAGTGGAATTCTGTAAAGAAAATGGTCTAGTTATAACAAACCAGATTTCAAAACCTTATGAGAAGAATATATACAAGCAAAATACCTGGTGATATTACCCGTAACCAACTAGATTACGTATTAGTGAAGAATCGTTTTAAAAATCAAGTCAAATTCTGTAAAACATACCCGAGTGCAGTAGATAACAGCGAAATTATTGCAATTTACTAGCACTAAGATGAAGGATGCTTTGTATCTACTAATTTGGGATATATATGAGAAAGGAGAAGTACTGGATGATTACTGTGAAAATATAATTATATCCTTGCCAAAGAAAATAAAAGCGAATTCCTGTGAACAGTATAGAAAATTGAGTCTACAGAAATACATCTCAAAAGTATTAACAAAAATAATAAACCGGAGAATAGAAAGAAAACTGGAAGAGTACTTAAAAAATGACCAATATGGATTTAAAAGACAAAAGAGTACATGAGAAACGATTCTAAAACTGCCTGTGCTGATTGAAATACAGATTGACAGAAATAATGTTGCAGACTTGGCCTTTATGAACCCGGAAAAGGCATTTGACAACATTTGACAACTAGAATAAAATGTTTCTCACCCTATAACAAGTAGGTATTGAACATTATCTAAAAATCATCCACAGTCTTCTTAAAAATCAGATGACTTGCATTAAAAAAAAGAGAAACCATTGCATACGCTCAAATAAAAAAGGAGTCCGACAAGGGTGCATGTTATCCCCTTCACTATTTAATTGTTACATTGAAAAATGCATAAATATAGTGAAAGTAAAGCTAACAAGACTAAATATTGGAATCAGAATGCAGGCATATTAATTAGCATAATATTAAAAATGTTTAAAAAAAATAATAAATTGTAGGTAGGTAGGTAGATATAATTCTTCAACGTGGTGCTAATGAATAATCAAATATAAATAAATAATATTCATCAATATGTTAAAATGTTTATTATTTTACAATCGATATATAATATAATAAATAAATATAATGCACATTATTATTTAATTATTTAAACATTTTATTGGTTGAAGAAATCGACCTTCTCAACTCTTCTCAATGGACTATTGTGTAACTAAAATGCTGTCAAAACGGTACTCATTTATTTCTCATACGTACAATTGACAGTGACTACACCATATTATCTACATCATGCTTTCAATGCTTCACTGGAAGTAGAACCCTATAAAAGTTTTATATACATATTTGTATGTATTAACACTCTTACCAATTTATATTTATAAAGATTCTTTTATCATTTAAATAAAAATGCCTCTAGGCAATTTAAAAAAAAAAAATAATAATAAAAAATAAATTAACTTAAATATTTTTAAATATAATTATTACTTTAAATCAAAAAAAAAAAAATTCTTATTTGTACATTGTATATTTATTCATTAGTTAATCGTAGAGAATAATAGTTATTATCACGCAGGTTTGTCCTATCAATGTCATCATCAGAGTCTATCAATTCCATTAATGGATCATTGTTTTTTCTTCTATTTTCTATCAATTCTTCCATCATTTTAGTTGTTATTGTTAGTATGGTGGATGTATTGAGACATTCGTTATCCTTCATATATAAAAGTGATTGAATACAATTATCCAAAATCAAGAATGTTTCATTTGATGGATTATCAACTAATGTCTGTCAACATAAAAGTTATTTATAAAAATTTAATTTTAAATACAAATTTCAGGTATCTATTTTGTTAGTTTATTATTGCATATTATATTATACTACATTATATGTGCCTATGCTATAAGCACTTGCCATTTTAGTTTGATGCAATGTTTTTCCAATTTCTATAGCATGCTCAATTAATTTTTCGGGCAATTTAACATCTCCAGCCAAAGCCAAACCATAATCATTAATATTTGTTACTCCAGGTAGTAATTTATATGTATAAGACAATCCACTCGTAGAATCCATTGCAGGTAATGCTTCCATATGATAACTATAATAACACAATACTAAAAATATATATTTGTAGTAAACTAAATAAATGATCATACAAATATTATATATTTATAAATAGAGTATGTTTCCCTTTCAACATATAGCACTACATAATATTGAGAAATAGATAATATACAAAAATGTAATGTTTCATTACTTGACAACATTGCAATACAAATCTTGAAGTTTCGTTACTAAAATACTATGTGTTGCTAAAAATATAAAAGCACAAGACTGCATTATATGTTCACAAATCGCCCATGCTAAACTGGACCCTTCATCACAAGAAGTACCTCGACACAATTCATCAATTATTATTAAACTATGTGTTGTAATTGAAGGAAGTATAGCATTTAATTCTTTTATCTATAAAAAAATAATGATAATAAAACTAATATATATGTTATTCTTATATTTTGTTATTTTAACTCTTGATTATAAATACTATTTTTACATTAATAATTTTACTTAGATAAATAATTTACCAATAATATACTATTCTATTCTTCTTTACATAATATTATGTGTTAAATTATTTATTATTAAAACATAATAACTGTATATTTACTGTACATACTTCTAAAACCCATGTAGACGAATTGGATTCAATATTATCTCCAAATCCTATTCTTGTAAATAATTTATCACAAATACGAAACTGAGCTTCTGATGCAGGAACAAAACATCCAATCTGAAAATTTTAAATTGTAAAACTATCCTGAACTATAATTTATAATGATGCTACTAACTTGAGCAATGATTTGTAACAATGCTACTTGGCGTATATATATACTTTTTCCGCCCATGTTTGGTCCAGTGATAATATTTAAATTTTTATTAGTTGTAGCAAACTAATTAAATAACATTATAAATAAATAATTTTAAATAAATAAAAATTGTTTTCATATTCCAATAAAAAAACAAAAAAAATGGCATAATACAAAACGACTAATCCTCAATGAAACACTTATTATCTCGGAAAGAATTTAATTTGTCCAGCATTTGTTTTATAGAAAATCAACTAATACATAAGCACTTTTAAAATGTTAGACTTTTTGTTCACTCTTAGTTTTGGACATGAAACCATTACTTACTTTTGATTTTCAAATAGCAATCTATATTAAAAATCTAGTGGAGCATCATTTGTGTAGCGACACAGTACACTACTACTCTCCCCTTATCTAAACTTAAATTGGAATATCTTGTCCACGGGTTAATGGAAATTAAAAATGTTAACACTGAAATGTATTAAATTAGAACTTTTTAATACAATTTTATTAGGTTGTTACTCAAAAATCAAAAGTCGAGTTTTAATCCAAAAAATAATGGTCATGCACCATTTTAGAACTGCTGTTTCTTAAATTTTCCAAATAATAAATTCTAATAATGAGTGTTTTATTAAGAATTTATCACTACAACATATGCAACAAATATGAAATAATACCAATATTTTACAATATTATTCACTTTCATTAAATAAAAACTTACAATATCATTTTCAACTGGTTTAATTAGATTGATAAACTCCAATATTGGATGTCTAGAATTTTTAATATCCATGTGTTGTCCAAACTTTGGTTTAGTATATCCAGAACGCATACTAAATTGGGCAAATGAAACTATCAAGTCTAAATCGGCAATGCTGTTACATAGATCAAATATACAACCCATGTATTTTCTTAACTCTTCGAACATTGCAAACAACATTCTAATAAAATAAAAAGAATTTATCAATGCCTATAAGGATATTTTAAATTACTGTATGTGTAAATAAAAAATTACTCATTTGTCACCATTTGTATTTCGTTCAGTGCTTGAGTAATACGAATATTTAAAACTAATAAATCTTCTGTTGTAAATTTTACAATATTTTTAACACATATCACCTATTTAAATTGTATATAAAATAAAGTCAAGTGTTAACAAAGTAAAATTAAGTTGTTCTTTTAATACAAAATATTATGCATATTAAATCGTAATAATCAACTTACATGTTTGCATATTATCGGAGGATGTTTAGGGTCAAAATTGTTAATATTCTTCAAGTTTACTTGAACGTGGAATCCTCGGTTAGATGAATTTTTCATAATCAAATGTTCTGTTCCTAGTTGTTCACCCAAAATCTTTACTCTATCTAAAACATTAAATTTTTAAATAATTTAATAATACCATAGCTACAATCCAGATTTATATAGTTTTGATTAGTCTTTTTTATGCATACCATGAAATTCTTCAACTAAATCACTATAGACAGCACGAGAAACATCTAGCACAGGATTTAAATTAGATTTAACACCAAAACATCTTTGAAACTGTGATTGCGCAAAGCCTTTTGATCTGGTAGATTCTTTGTGCATAGTCATATCAATTATTTCAAACATTTTTAAATATCCAGAATTTGATAATGACTAAATTAACAGTACACATTTATTATAAATTATTATTACAATTAGTTGTATTTATTAATACTAACTTTGCGTATGTCAGTAATATATGTAGAGTTAAATAGTTTTAAAATATCTTCGAGTGCAGGCAATGCTTCTAGTGTAGTTTTTAATAACAAAGCATAATTCACTTGTAATTTAGATATGTTCTGTTGACTGTTTATAGAGATTTTAGTACACAGTGAATATAATTGTTCAGTATCAATGAACTTATTAATTACATTCTAAAATTAAAAGATAGTATTTACTATTTATATTGTACAAAATATTATAAAACATAATGTAATAAACACATAAATACTTTTAGCAAAGTGAAATTTTGTTCTGAAATGCTTATAAGTTCCTCTATGGCTTCTTGGCGATTATGTATTAGCTGAATATCAGTAGAGGGCTGAAGGATAGATGACCGGAGTCTCCTTTGACCTCCAATAGTAATGCAATGATTTAAAGCATTATAAAGAGTATTTTTGTTGTTCATTGAACTACTAATATTCATTACTAATTCTAGTCTGGATGCTGAATTCATATCTATCAGAAATAAAAAAAAAAGGCTGATACTAAGGATGAATATGCAAAAATTGGCAAAATGATTTAAAAATTTCAGAAGGCTAATATAAGTAGGTATTTAATTAATATTTCAGGTCATACAATTATTTTTAACAAAATAACCAAAAACCAATTGGTTATACAGTAAATTTTCCAGTTTTATTTTTGTTTTTTTTTTTTTTCAAATTATTAGGAAAACTTCAAAGAATATCAAAAAATAACCATCTAGCACGCAAACTTAATACAGTTTTTTTTCAAAAAAGATGATATTAGTACTTGAAACTATTAAAAATTTGATAAACAAAACAAAATCGAAAAAATTAAAAATCTTAATAATAAATAAATTAAATAAATACTGTAAAGTTGTACATTTTTTCCCAGATTACAATACAAACTACTTAGAAAATGAAAAATCACTAAATTCAATTCAATTGAAGGTAGATTCCTCGTAGAAAAGTGTCAGATGAATAACAAATTAAATAAATACAAAAAAAAGAGCTGATACTGGGGACGGGTGTGTCATTGTTGTAGGTGGTAAGTTACCTAACTCTTATAAAAAAAAAATACTACACAACTCAATTTTTATTTATCAGGTCTATAAAAAGATCAAAGTTACCACATCTTGTAAAAACAAATATGAGTTGTCTGTCAAAATGTCAAGTTTCTACAAATGTTTTTAATTGAATTACAACAAAAAAAAAAGTTTTAAACAATAAAATAATTATTTTTGTAAATTTTCATATTCTTTTTCAATTTTGATTAATTATTAAAAAAATACTACAGGAAAAAATCAAAAAAAAAATAAACTATAATTAAATCAATAATCTACAGGTTCGGAAATTTCAAATATCTATAATTAGCTGAAATATTACAAAAATATTTTGAAAATTGTATATCTCAGAAGAACTATATTATATAATTATTCAATATTTCCCGTGACGATTATTGTGTCAATAATTGCAAGGAATGCCAATTTTTTTTAATAATTCTTATAGTTCCTCTTCTTGTATTTTCCCCAATCGAGCATTGTACAAGGTAACAATTATGGTTGGTGCCTGAAAATAATGTGTTTCCAAACGCACTGAAGATAATGAGTGTTTTACTTTATATTTAATCACCATGTATTTGAGATCATTATGTTCGAAAAAACACATAAATGCAATGAAATTATCAACTTACCAATAAACATTGAGTTTTCAATTCCTTCATATTTAACTTTTAATGTATTTGAATGAAAAATTACATTATGGTTAAATTCTAAATGTTTTAATAATGCTGCCGCAGCAGAAATGGCATAATATCTACAACAATATAATTAAATAAGAATCCAGAAAGCCCACAAATTATAGCCATAATCTTATACAATTAATAATTAAATAATAATATTGCTTACTTGGACCACACCTGTTCTAATGTTGAAATACATTCTGGTGTTACAGAATTCTTTAAGTAATGTTTACCTTCATTTTCACAAAAATGTTTTCGTGATGCAGTAAGTATAGAACTTAATGGAAACTGGTTTTTAATTATATTATATAATACTATACCTTGCATCTGGTTCATAAATGTATTAGGAATTAAAATCTATTAAAAACAAACACTTAAATTTACAAACTCATTTTCCTCTTATATATGAATTTATTATTGAAAATATTTTATATTAATTTTGGTAAAATTATTTTTAAATACATATTATTATTATCTAAGGTAATTTTTTAAGTCAATTTTTTTATATTTGATTTATTTTATAATACCAAATTGTATGTCACATTATTCTCCCTGACTATACAATATCGATCGAGAAAACAAAATTCACAAATTGCTATGTTATTCTATTGTCAAATTGAATGTATACATAAATAGTTTTTACTACAATAATATTAATTTTAATTATGAAACAGGATTGAAAGTATTCAATAAAATATACACTTGAATGCAACTAAATTAACTCACCTACAAAGACATAATTTTTTTAAAATGGCTAAACCAATTATAACAAAACAATTTTTTTTTGAAAGTCTAATGTTTCTACTTTACTATGACACCATTATCATAAAAATATCTTCAAACTCTTTATTATTTTAGATTCTGAGTGGAGTGAAGAAGCTTATGGTTTTGCAGATTTTTTTTTTTTTTTTAACTGTCCACAACTTCTACCAAATATCTTGCTTCAATTTATAAGTGTAGCACCATTTCTAAAAGAAAATCGATGTAGGGAGGTAATTTTTTGATTTTCCCAAGAGTTTTCCCAAGGAATGTAAAAAACCAAGAAAAACTTAGAAAAATAGGAAAATCGCTACAGAATTAAACAAATATTATTTAAAAAAATATTTAATGTCTATTTAATTATTTTAATATAATATCACATATATATTGTTGTATATTGTTAACAAAACATCACAATCAACTGAAATTCACTCAGGTATACATTAAATTACCAATAATAGTGATTGCACCCATCCCCATTATCTCCTAAGATGGCTTTTTTTAATTTGTTTTGTGAAAATCAGTTAAGCTATTTTATAAAAATATACTTTTTTATGGGTGAGTTTAGTTGCACTATAGTATATATTTATAAATATTATTCCATATAATTAGTATACAAATATAATTAATATAATTAACGCACAAGTCTATATTAGTATCAAATATATAATAAAATAATAAAGTAAAAATAAAATTATTTAAATGATGAATACTGGTAAATAAATAAATGAATAATTTGAATCCAGTCGTATAATATATTTATCATAATACTCCATGTGACGCATTGATTGATTTATTTATTTTATTTTTATATATACATTTATTTACTTTATCAAATGTATATATATATATATAACACCTACCACATTTACTCATTAATTTACTACATAAAAAACTTCAAATGCCCCCTCAAATAGACAAGAAATCTAACAGAAATAGTTAAATTTATCAGTTTAATATTTTGAAGGTAATTTAAAAAAACCAATATTTCCAATACAATTTGACTTTAGATCTTATTATATAGTATAAGGCATATCATCATAATTAAATTTATTTATTGTTACCTCTCCAGGATTTATAATATTAATCTTATTGATTGTATGTGTATATGTTTGAATGTCATTGATTTGGCACATAATTAATATTGGTATTTTTAAATCAATTGCTGCTAAACCAATTTCACCTTGAGCTGAACGTCTACCTCCAGTCAAAACTAAAAAAAATTATTTATAGTTTATACCAAGTTAATATGAATAATTTTTATTCCCCATATTATATATTTATGTACCTAATATAACATTATTTTGTATATTTTCTTCTTTACCCAAATTAATTTTGGGTGATTTAAAAGATAAAGAGTTACGAGATTTTGTTTGTATAATATCTGGAACCACAGGTGACGCTCTAAAAATAAATTAACTATTTCATAAAATATCTTCTATACATAGTTAAAATCATATTTCAATAATATTACCTGGGTAAATTCACAGTTAATTGAGATTCAATATCTTGACGTGGAGTATCAATGCTAAATATAAAACCCTCAACTTTTTCATTGATTTCATGGTCTGACAGGAAAATACTGGGATTTTCTGTTAATATTCGACTATTAAAACTTTCGCTTTGGTTTGATTGTTTAGATGTTGATGGTACAAATTGCAATATATTTCTCGTTTCAGGTGAATTATTAGTTTCTTTAAGTTTACTAGTGGATGTATTTAAATCGTCTCTGCACTTTGATTGAGAACGAATTATGATGTTATCATTTACCAAATTTTGTAATGGTTTATTTGTATTAGGTTTCTTAAACAACTGGTTTTCATTAATACGTAGAGGCACTATGTACTGGCCTGGTCTTCCTGTTTGAACAAAGATAACATATTTATTGAAATTTATGAAATTCATCGGATAAGCTTTTAAGAAAAAACTCAAGAAATCTGGTAGTTACTTATTTTAAAATCATTTGCTGTAGCCTTTCGATGACTAACCACAGTACTTTTCACAACATTCATATTTAATGTGTTGACCTAAAATAAAATAAATGATTTTTACATTAATTATTATTATTATTATTAATTATTTTATTTATTTTAAAGTTATTAGTCTATATCAAATGTATATCTTTATCTGTTATTTAAATTTTAAAAATACAGTTGATTCAATAACAATTAACTTGCAAATTGAATCAGACATGTACTCATAATTGTTTTTTATTCTATGTTTGGACAATTTTTAATTAAGAATTGGACCCATTCGTGGCATATTATATAAATCAGTAAGATTTATAACATACTGTATGCTGATGATTATGTCCTAATAACGAGTAATGAGAGAAAGCGATGATCTATTTAGTATTAACAGGTAGGCACAAAACTAATCACGAGTTCAAGCACAAATCTCATTTAGTAGTATCTAATAATGTTCTTCAATAACTATTGAATGTAAGATTCGAGGAAGTAGTGCGTTAATATTGATTCAAATTTATGTAGGTACAGAAGTACCTACCTAAACCAAACAATATTACATACGAACCTCAATCGTGGGATATACATATTTCTTTTATGCATGATGTGCATGACTTAAATTGAGATGTCTCTCGTTATTTTAGAAAATAAAAATACTTACCTGAATAACAGTGGTTTAAAACAAGTAAATTATTTTACTAAATTTTGAAACATAACCTAAGGTACTTATAAAATTATTTAAGATGTCCAAGATATTTAAGGAATACGTATAGGTACCTAATTATAATTTATATTATATAATAATGCCATTCGGGCCGCTCTTTTACTTATCAATAGTTTCAACGATTCTAATTTCAAAGTGAGAATTTTAATTTTAAATTAAGACAGTTGATTTGATTCGATTCGTGATCGACGCTGTGGTTTTTATATAGATTTTTAGTGTTTTTATATTCACCACTAGAGTGAAGTACTATCGAATATTATTCTATAACCATAACCGCGGTAGTCAACAAAAATAATGTTATCAAAGTTCACTAATCTCGATAGAGAATAGAGATCGCACACAGACTCGGCCTAGGTAGGTGTTGATTTTTGGTTAGTAAAATTGTAATTTATTCCTCATTCTGTTTTCGGTATTCCTTCCATTGAATTGTGCTCACTAGAATTTTAGTCCGTCATAAGCTATTAGTTCGTCCAATTTAAAACTGTTATTGAATAGTATAATTTCCAACCCGCAGGATATATAAACATTAAACATAAGGTTAGTATAATTTTGAATCTACTTTAATACCAATACCTTTTAAAGTGTATAATAGCAAAATTAATCATTACACCTATATTTGTATAATATTGTATATTAATTAGACTTTCTATTAATATGAATAACTAAAACTGGATATGAAATTATTTTTATTTGTTCAACTAACTTTGCCATGTTAAATAACTGTGTCAAAACAATAGTTTAATCAATACAAATATTTAAACTTAACAATATTTATCATATTTGTTACATATTATTATATTTTATGTATACAAAATGTTTGTAGTCATCAAATAATAGGTGTTTGGTCAAGCCAAACAGTACTTTTAAATTTCCACAAAAAAAAAAATAAGTAGGTATCTGTATTTCTTTTATTATCTATAAAACTCATAATAAGAACATAATTATAAATACTAATTACTATAATATTTAATTGGTTTTAACAATAATGTAAACTTCTTCAATTATTGGCTATTGCCGTGAAAATACAAACTGTTATATTTCATGTTTACTGAATATTGTTTTAGATATACAGTTACTAATTTACAATAGTAAACAATAATAGTTTACTCTTAAGAATGAAACTATTAAAAAGAAATATATAATATGACCATGGCATTCAAGAGTATATAATTACCTAGTCTCTTTAGATAAATGTTCAAATATAGTATTGATTTTGATATAAATCTAGTTTATCATCCTTCGCATTGTCAACACATGAATTTTTGGACACTAAATACCATGGTGTAGTCAAAATTTTATAGTCAGACTTATTTTAGAAACTATAGCACTTCAAAGTTGGATATTATGATATAATGCAACTGCGTAGCGACTAGTGAGGTTTTGGTTTACATTTAGAATATTTTACTCCCTAGTCCTTATAGTAGTATTAAGTTAGAAATGTAAGTTAGGCACTCATAGGGACATACAGTTTTTAAATCACTAATTATAAGTTCTTAAATAATAGTGTCCAAAAATTCTGTCCCCATTATCATCTTCAACATTGAACTACGTCTTATTGTAATTAATATAATGTCAATATTACTTTTTAAATTTTTTTTTCTTGCATAACTTATTTTATATTGATTTCCTCAAAAATACAAATATTTAAAAAATTATTGCCGAATAACATAACTTAAAAAAAAAAAAGAATATACCAATTGTAAGATGTACAATTAGATTTATTCTCGTTATTTAATTAAGTTAAAATATAGAATAAATTTACTTATCTGTGCATTTTTAATAATTTGCTCTAATGTCAAATCATAATTTATACCTATTATATAATCTATAATGATGCATAATATTGCATAATAATAGTAAAAGAAAAAATTGATTATCATTTATCAGGGTAATTGAATATTATGTTTAAAATGGGCTGATAAAAAAATTAATAGCAATGCATTTTAATTATGGGTACATGAGTATGAATTAATTATTAGACACCACAATTGTCTAAGTTTTAATGTTATATTTTATTACAGTAAAATAATTGTTTGAATATTTTATATTTTTACGTACAGAATTTAGAATTACAACAAATATTCATAAATGCCTATTATTATTGTCATTGTCTATAGACATGAGTCAAGTATGTATATATAGGTATTTAATTTTTTTAAATTGGAATTATGCCATATTTTTTTACACAATATTATTATTATCTTTACTTTTTAGCACAGGTTCTAAAAAATCTAAATTGTAGTGAGTTATATTTTTGTTTTCTGAAATTTAAAACAAAAATATATCAGGGGATTTAATATTTTTTACTAATGGTCACACTGATTTTATCCTGGCGTCTATCAACTTATTAATCGTATCAATGATTCAGGTTTCTAGTCCTTGTAATATTTATTTTCTCCTTAAAATTTCCTTTGCAGTTTGTATGCTTGATGTTTACACTTTTAATTTTGTAGTTTTTCCTGATTGATAATGACTGCATGCTGTGTAGCCTAAGTGTTAAACGTAAAACTGTTGAATGCTATATTTTATCCAAGTTAAAGACCGTAATTGATTATTCAATTTTATTTACTTGTGTTTAATTCCATTTAGGTTACAATGGAAAATACACAGCAAAGTCCTAATGGATCAAATTTCAATGATTACAATGATGTCAACTTGACAATTAGGATTCTATTTCACGGCCGTGTAAGTATTAAAACTAATTTTATATCTTTTAGTAATTTCAAATATTGGGTATTTATCACATTACATATTTATAATAATATTGTATTGTCTGGAATATTAAGCACGTATCATTTTCTTGGTTTTAATTTAAATGTTATTGTTCTATCTATAGCTATCTGATTTTCTGATTAAACATTTGAAGTATTATTTGAAAAATGTTAATTCTTTAACTTTCAAAAATGTACACATTTGTGGGTTCAGTGTAAAACTGCTTTTAAGAAAAATTTTAAGACCCATACTTATAACTTTTAAATTAGTCTTCAGTCTAACATGAGAAAATACTGAGAATAAATACAGAACTAAAGAAAAGGCTAATGTATTTCTGAGGAAATGCATCTAGGTGAAACATGGGTTACGTCTTAAGGGGCCCACAAATTTTTATACTTTTTATTTCTCATTTCTCATCCATTTATATAAAACACTTAATAAAAACCCACATATTCTAGATAACCGCTCAATTAATTAATATTCTCACTTATCTTCTATTGTCACTTTCTCAGTAGAGGTGTGTATCTGAAGGATTAAACGGTTTATCTACAACCCACGGTAAAAGCAATTTAAGTAATCCATTATTGTTATTAATAAATAAATCACTTTTAGAAGAAACTTTCCCTATAGTTTGAAAGTAAGGTGGATCATGACAATCTTCAAGGGAATCTGTAGATCCCACTGATATTTATTATTAATTACTGTACTATTTCAGAATTGCTTCTTATTAGGAAGCTTTTTGAACTGGTTCTTTTTGAAAATTTATAAAAACAATGTACCTATATCAGTACTATCCATGGATCAACACGGTTTCACCCCTAGACATTCAATCGTCACTAATATAATAGATTTCTTCCCTACGTTTTTGATACATTTGAATCCTATCATCACGCAAATATTGTAGATAAGGACTTTATCACTATTATAAAGTGATCATTATAATAGGCCATAATATATTAATCCTTATATTGAACAAATTGAGAGTAGTATATCTGCTATTATCATACAAATCACGTTAATAGAATCAGTTTTGATTATTTAATTCATAATAATGATTGTCTACCTTGTGTAGAATAAGTGGAAGACTTATGGTTAAAAGTAGTGCCATCTTTTAATAATTGTATTGAATTTATTACTTGTAAAGCTTTATGTACCCTATATTTTATTTATTGCATTGCATCAAAATTTGATGCAATGCAATTGACCAATTACATTAAAAAGTTATACACTTGATTAGTGTAATTGATCTTAGAATATGAACCTTTGATATTTTGTTTCCTTTATAATAAAAAGACACATTTTATAATTAACTTAGTTTGTGGTAATATTTATGCTCTCATTTCATTTACCAAGGCTTTGATTAAAAAAAATACAATTTTCGAAATCAGCACTCGTAAAACCAATTATTTATGTAATAAAGAACAGTGCATCTAATTAATTTGGACACCCAGTCTACTAGACTTATAGTTTTAATAATAATTTACATTTAAGGATGAATCTTGGGACAGACCCACACAATTAGTTTCTACGTTAATTTGATATATATTTACTCTAAATGTATTTTACCTAAAATATCTTTGATATCTTTGTAAAATTACTGTCAGACATTGAAATTATAAATAAAATGAAATAATTTTATCATCAAAAATCTACAGCTTAGAAAATTAATTGTCATTGTTGAACTTAGGAAATATTTTTTTTTACTATTATTTTCATTATTTCCTAACATTCTATTCATTTTTTTTTTTTTTTTTGTCTAACCAACCTTTTGTTTAGGTATAAGTGTTTGTGTAGTAATATTTTTAATTGATTTTCTATAAAATGTTATACAAATTTAGGAAACTAAGTATTAAGTGGTTTATTCAAATTAAAAATGATAACTGATATGCATACTTAGATATTTTTTTATCAATAAAAGTATTGAAACGTGTTTTTTTTTTCTAGGAAGTTGGAAATGTGATTGGTAAAGGAGGAGAAACTGTAAAAAATATAAGAGATCAGGTAGATTATAATTACCATTTTCTAATTCTTTTGTAATGATGCAAAATATCAATTTATATTTGAATAGTCTGGAGCACGAGTTTTAATCTCCGATGGATCAACTCCAGAACGTATTGTTAGTATTACTGGAACTACAAATGCTATTTGTAAAGCTACCGAACTTATTGGACTAAAAGTTGAAGAAGTAAATTTTGGAATAAAAAATTATGACTATATTTTTTTAAACGTTCTCCGTTTATTTATATATTTTTTTAGTTTTTTGAAAGACAAAATGGTGATTGGAACGGTCCAAAAGCTCCATTAACATTCAAGCTAATAGTACCAGCATCTCAATGTGGTTTCATAATTGGTAAAGGTGGATGTAAAATTAAAGAAATTAGAGAGTCAAGTGGAGCTGCCATACAAGTAGCTTCAGATATGCTCCCTAATTCAACTGAACGGCTTGTTTCAATTACTGGTACCACAGGTACAATATCACAATGTGTTTATCAAGTGTGTAATGTGCTGTTAGATGTAAGTTAATATGAAACATTTTATTATTATTAAATTAAATTTTGGATAATATGTGTAATATGTTTTAAAAATATTTTCAGTCTCCACCTCGTAGTGCAACTATCCCTTATGACCCGCGTAGTAAAGCTTCTGGATTTGCTAGTAGTGCAGTTGGTAATGAGGTGAGTTGGACAATTAAAACTTAATAATAGCATATATTTAAATATTAAAACACCTATTTTATCACATTAGTTTGGAAGACAACGCACTAATCCTTTGGCTAGTCTAGCAGCTCTAGGGTTGGGAACTGCTTCTACTGGAGGTATCAATCCTGCTGGTATGTACTCGTATTCTTTTAAAATTCAAACAAGTAAACAAATTGTTAAAAATTGAATAAATTCACTTATGGTTATTATATTTAAATTAAAATTAATTATTTTGTAGTTTAGAATGTATTGTACAATTGTCATATAAATTATAACATTTAAAATCCAAAAATTGTTCTGTTAATGTTAATATTTTATTATTTATTTTATGTTGCTACTGAAATAAATACTTAAATACTTAAATGAATAATTAATAAAATTACTATTTAGCATTGGCTGCATTAGCTGGAAGTCAGTTGAGAACAGGTAATCGTCAAAATAGAAATGGTGGTGGAGATCACAAAAATCAAAATTCAAATTCAAATTCTGAGACTATATCAATGACAGTACCAAATGACTTGATTGGTTGTGTCATTGGTAGGAGAGGAAGCAAAATAGCTGAAATTCGGTAAGTTTTGACTTACTTCATATGATTTAATACCATATCTTTTCATATTGATTAATATAGTCTACAGTTTTTAATGAGAATATGAGATATCAGTGTTTAATTTTCTATTAAATATTATTAATTGTTATTGTTTATAATTCTGTGAAATATCTAATTGTCTAAGAAATAATTACAAAAAAAGTAATAAAATTATAAAAACTTCCCATTAAATTTATAAAGTTCCATTCGTATTATACATTATGTATAAAATTAATTGATATCATTTTAAAATAATTGTTGAATTAAACTTATATAATGTATATACATTTTGTGTAGACAAATAAGTGGTGCTTTAGTACATATTGCTAAAGGTGATGGAACACATGAAAATGGTGAGAACGAAGATCGGCATATAACAATTACAGGAAACAAAGATTCTATTTCAGTTGCCAAGTACTTGATTGAAATGAGGTACAACTTAATAATCACTAAAGATAGTATTTGTGGGATCATAGTTAAGAATGAATCCTAGTGTTGTTACCATTAAATCCCTCTTATTGAATTATTTTGTCCTTTTTTCATCACTAATCCCAATTTCTTCTCTAGTGTGGAACTGCAGAAAGCCAATCTTGAGGGGGCTAATCCATCCTCTAGTCCTGATGATGGGTCCAGCTCAACCTTGCCCACTCCTCCGACGGTGGCTGCATCTCCTTTGTCGTCCGCCATTCCATTGGCTCAACTATTTGCCAAGCCGGGCGCCATTAATGCCCTATCCAGCTTATCAGCTCTTGGTGGCTTAACTGACCTCTTGGGAGCCCTATCTGGCGCCAATCAATCCCCTCCGATACAGACCACGGGTGTTCATCGCCCGAAAAATTATTTTCAGAGAAACCGCAGCCCTTCAGGCGACAAAACCAAAACGGAAAGGGCCAAGTTTGCTCCTTACTGAATGCTTGTTAATCCCGAATCCGCCAATTATTTCTGTTTATATTAGTCTTTAATCCTACCCATCTATTCATTTTCTCTTTTTTTAAATAATTATTATCGATATATTATTATTTAACTTAATTATTCATTAAGCCGTTTATCCAAGTTTAAAGGTTGAACAAGTTCTCTTGTTTTATTTGACATCCATTAACTTTTAATATTAATTTAACATAATTTTATTTGAGAAATAAAAATACTTTACATATTTCTTTAATGGGTGGAATTATTGCATTTTAAAGTTATAGTAAATATATATTGTATCGTATCCAATTTATAATATTTCACTTAATAGTTTTAGATTGTTTCCATTGCCTAGCCTATGTTTTTAGTTCTTATATTATATTTATGTAGATATTATGAATAATATATCTTGTATTCCTTATTTTATTTAATATTCAATTTTAATTTATCTCCATGAAGTCTAATAAATAAAATCAGATCGGTTTACTTTTGTTGATACTGTTTTATCTACAACTAGTAGTGTACTTTTGATTTTAAGCTCAAATTTTTATATATGTATGATATTAATTAGAAAATGCACAAAAGTGATTCAATATTAAAATGTGTTATCTACAGGAATAATAATTTTTCTAAAATATTAAGTATAATCTTTTTATAACCAATGTACAATTTCTCAACACATTATTAAAACTGAAAATATCTCAGGTTTTTAAAATATATGCACTATTTCAAGGATTTCATAACATTCGTACTGTTTGTTGATAGGTTTTCTATTATGAACATGTTATTATGATGTAACAAAATATTTTTTTTAAATATTATAAGTGCACTATAGTACACAATTTATTTGCTTTATTTGTCTATCCTATTCTTAAAATAAATAATAAATCTTGTATTTTTTTAGTTCTGAGATCCAAAATCTTTTAACTTGGTTCAAAAAATAATAAAAAATGATTTGCCAAAAATTAATTTAACAATTGTATACATTTTTATTTTAATAATGATAAGTTTTAAGAGGTTTATTGAGTTTTTTTTTTTTTAGTAGGTATTTTTGTATAATTTCTCTCAGAAAATTTATTTTAAGTAAATATAAATAAAAATATAGAAAATTTGATTTATTAGTATGGGATTTAATTTATGTATGTATTTCCCACCACTTTTGGACATTTCCAGGGGTTTTCTGTGAACTACATGAGCCCAAACCTAAGAATTGTAGTGGTTTTATTGGGTGAATTAAGTGTTAAAAGTTAAGGTATTTTTTTTAGTATTGAATGTCCTAAAAATGAAGTTAGATGGATGGATACAATTTTGCATATGTATTAACAATGGATAAGTCTTACTGGGGTTAACTTTTTTTATACTAAAATGTCATCATTATTATTACATTTTATTTTTTTTGGAAATAGTATATTAGACAGAATTGTAATTAATGATGTGACAAATTCATATTGTAACGCCTGAATTTCTAGCTTAAAATACTTTTAATTTTTTGTTTTTTAATTTACTATATATATTTATGTATTTTAAATATTTAAAAAGTGTGTATTAAATGATTTTTATCAAAAAAAAGAATTGCTTAAGACATATTCCAAAAATTTGGATTATTAAACTTCTAATTTTTCCCATCATTAATTACTGCAATATTACTAATATACATTATATATTTTTATTATTTTAAAATAAATAATATACAAAAAGGGGGGATTCATCTCTTAATAACAAAGATCTGTTACACGTGGGTGTTTTTTTTTCTGTATAACTGCACTGAATCATTATTTTCAGAAATAGAACAATTAGTTATCTTCTTTTTACAGAATTTATTAAAAAGACAAAAAACATTTTAAATAATTATCAAATGTTTAATTTTATCACTTAATTGTATCAACTTAGAATAGATGTCTAATATTTTATAACCAGTACAAGTTTAAATATTGATTTTGCAATAAAATAAAGTAAGGCTCTATTAGTTTATTGAGAAGAGTTATCTTTGTTACAATTTTATAATAAATGGTTACAGTAAATTTAATATAGTAGCCCTTCAAACTAAATTTTAATTTTAAATACTCGAAAGAGTAAAAATAATACATTTTAGATTATGTGATAGTTTGAAAAACACATTCATTTTATGAAATTATTAATTCATAATATGATTGTAGTTTTTTTTTTTATTTATTTGTAATAAATGTATTATTTACTAAATTATGACTTCAATTTGTCCTCTATTTCATTTCATGGTCTATATACTATACTCTATACTTAAACAACATAGACTATTAAATTGTAAGTTATTTTATATCTTCTATTAAACTTGTTTTATTTAATGTACAAATAATTATCATCAAATCCTTGATAAATCAATGTTATAACCTTTAGCTACAAAAAAAAGCTATTTTTTCTTTCCTGACCAAAAAAAATAAATCGATCAAGATAAGTGTACACTCTTACAGGCACTCAATGGGTAATTTAAAATGTTTATTTAAATTCTATGCTTAAATTGTTTATAATTTCATTACTTTCCTTTTCTGTTTATTTTTGTTTTTTTTTTTTCTATTCAGTAATTTAATCTATATTAATAATTTATAAACAGTTTTAGATTTCTATTTCTATTGACACTAACTAATATTTTTATTTATTTTTAGAAATATGGGCTGATCCAATGATGTGTTATCAGTTCATAACTCCGAAATGTAAGTATAGATGATAATATTATCTATTTAATATTTAATTAATTGTGTATATTTTCCAAATTATATCAAAGAAGTGCAAACTTAAAAACAAATAATCCAATATAAATGTTTAACTTATATCTATCCTAAAAATTTTATGGATTTTAATGCTTTTGTTATTTTTCATTCATAATTTGATGTTTTACCACTTTCTGTCTATACAGTGTTGATTAATATTTGATATTTCTTATATAGAATGTACCATCAAGATGTACCCATTGCGATATTTCCAGGTATAACGAAATATAACATTTTTTTTTTTATAATATCTATTTATATTACAAGGATAAGGGATGCAAATTTTTTAAAACTTTTAGAACTATTTTATTTTTTTCTCTGAACTTTAGAAAATTATAAAAAAAATACGAATTTAATGCAAATAAAATATTGAAACATCATAATTTTCTGAAGAATTCATTATAAAATAGTTCTTCAAATTTTTTGGAAAAAATAAAGTAATTTTTATTTAAACAAATTTAAATCAAATATAAATATTTCTGTGAATAATATATAATTTATTATATAAAAAAAAAAAAGAGAAACAATTTGATTATTTTTCTCTGGATATGTAACAATGGGTTTACCTTCATAGTCCAATCTGTATGTTATTTATAATAATATTAAAATATTATATAAACCAATATTTCTCAAGCTGGTAGTCATCAACTAATTATTTAATGTCGTTATATATAAAATAAACTCAGGGGCGAAGTAAAAACCAAATTTAGGGCTAAAGATTAAAATTTATCTAGCCATCAAATAAAATATGTACCTATCAAACTAAATTTTTCTTGCGTTTTAATTTGAACCATCGGTAAAATCAGAATTTAGACCTGAGGGGAGCTAAATATGTTTTTACTTGAATTATGAGTGAAGGTAAGAGAGGTAAGGTTAGTTTCAATCTTCCATTCCCCTGAAAATATATGAAAATAATTTCATCAGTTTATTCTAATACTTAAAACGAAAATCTTAAAAAAATTATTTTTACTAAAATTTTAAATAATACGTGTAAGTAAAATATATACAAATAACACACCTAACATAACCAGGCCATAATATGATCCTTGCCATTTATAAACTTTCTACTTTCAACTGGCCACTCCATCCCTGTATAATATATTTAGGGGTCACTAAAAATTTGTATTTTCATTTGGGGGTCATGACACTAATAAGGTTTAGAAACACTGCTGCAGACCATAACATAGACATGAAATACATGTAATAGGCATCAGTATTAAACTTTTCTTTCTTTTTTTCCTTTTCTAGGAAATGAAGTAGATTTGTGAACAGACAGAAATCTTGTGACGTGTATTTGGAAAAAATAATCAGATATCTCTATGAATAAATATTATTTTAGATATTTATTGAAAGTTTTTGAAAAAAAACTGTTCAAAGACTAATAAATATTGCAACTAAAAAAAAGCAAACACAGCTTAAAAGATGTATGGATTTAATTTATGTTCAAGAAAAGTTTACGATACAATAATAGTTTTATTCAATTAATTGGAACAAATTATATTCTAGAGCCTACATCCTATATCAGTATTAATTGGTTCTATATCAACGTAAGTAAAATGGAATATGTATACTTGTTTTTTTTTTTCTAATTCATACTTTTTAATTTGGTTTTAATATTTTGTCAAAATAGTAGTACATTAGGTCAACTATTTAGTACCCAATAATATCCACTTTAAAAGAACAAAGAATATCCAATTGTTTATTAAATGTCAGCCAATACCATGGAAAGAGAGAGTGCTAACTTTATTATAGTTCCTCATTTTACAAGCTAATTATTTTATTGTTTTACTATCATTCCTTATTATAATATATTTTAGTTTTTCAATTTAACTTAATAACAGTCCATTGCAAATCCATTTTATTTTAAATAGTTTTTTTTGTTTAAATAATTAAAATTTTAAAATCTTTAAATGTTGATTGTTCACTAACTTTTATTTTTATTAATATTTTAAGTATTAAGATATTTATTATATTCAAAAATTATTGATATAATTATTATTATAATATAATATAAATTTTATTTTTTTACAAGTATTGTTTAAAATATTTTAGTAATTAGATTACATTATACATCATTCATTACTGACCTATAAACAGTGCATAATATTTTTATACATAAAAGAGATTCAATTCAATTAATTCAACATATTATTATGTATTTAAATAATTTAGAAATATAGAAGATCTTAGGTTTCACATTTAAAACGTATAACACCTATACCTATTGTATTGGCGGGGATGGACAAATTGATGCAAAACTTATAGAATACTTACTCAATGATATAAAATATAGTTCGTTCAAATAACAGTATTAAGGGGAATGGGTAACATTGGAATTTAAATGTGTTCTATTGGTTTAGTCGAGGGATAAGAATTCAAGTCTATTTGAAATCAACTTTCCCACATTCTTATTTTATCCCCTTAAATCTATATAGTACAGTATAATTGTGGAGGCAGTATCTACTTGTTAATAAATAGAACTTGGTTCTATTCACTTGCACTCTCACTGTATTTACATAATTATACAGTTATTAATGTAAACCTTAACAATTCAGAACTCTGAAAAACCAATTAATAGGTACATATTTACCATTCTATAATCAATAACCTTTTGTCAGGTTATCAGTATGATTATCGATTTCCAAAACGAAATATATTTTACATAGTGTCTACATCTAGCTGTCAAATTTGTGCACGTTTAAAGTAGCACACAACAGAAAAACAATGTTTTTCAAATTATTATTAAATGCTAAATCATTGTACCTTGTAACGCGGGCGGATGGGTCCACTGTTCTACTGTGCATACACACAGTGGGCCGGTGTCATATTACATCTATCGGGCCAGGCACGTCCCTGAAGGAGAAGTTAATCACCCCCCTCTCTATTATGTTCTTTTTTTGTAAGTACAAATAGGTAAAAATGCAACTGGTTCCAAATGCCATAAAGATGATTTCGAATCTTGCAAATACTTCGATTGAAACAAGAATGAAACACTTCTCATTTAAAATTTTAATAAATAATCTCTCAAGGGTGAGATAAAATTATTGAAAACTAAGTGGGAACAATCAATTTGCAAAGATATAATAAAATAAAATAGCCAATATATGTATTTTTAGAATTAAAATTGGAAATTATGATTTTTTTTAAACTGACAAAAATTTCTACTAGAAATCTTCAATATGTAAGTGTAGCATTTTTTTAGAAAAAAATTATTGACTATATGGTACTTAAGGAAGATTTTTCAAGCAGTTTTCATAATACCAGGAGAACTCACGATAAAATTTTAGAAAAACGGGAAAATTTACGAAAATAATGCTTTTATTACTTTCAATTTTTATTTTTGTTGTAATTCAGTTAAAAATATTCGTGGAAACTTGAAATTTGAACAGTAAACTTTTCTTAACATGGTGAAGTTGTTGAGCGATTTATAGTCATTTTAATTGTAGGAGTTTTGTACGTAATTTTTATTCAGTAGGTACTCTGTGGATAAAATTGTTAAACCAAACTAAATATAATGAAGTCTTCATCATTGATGAACAAGATGCTATCGGTGTAAAGACTAAAGTGAATTATATAATATTTATGTTATAATTATTATAATCATTTATACCGCCCCCATCTCTGCATTCTGCAATATCAGTGTATTGCAGCATTCATTAATTATTAAAATATAAGTCTATAAAACAAAATACAGTAACATTTAACATGAATAATAAACGAAATATTTGATTTATAACTTTGACAACAGTAAAATTTACAAAAATTGAACAATAAAATCAATAAGTTTGTTAATTAAAAAAAAAAAAAAAACAACACATAATATCCATTCGATATTTTATCCCATTACCTACATAGGTCATTGTGTTCCCAAGACAGTTGTTCGGTCTCTTCATACATAAATCTAACGCGATAATTCAAAACAAAAGATGGCGCCCGTCTACTTGTCATTAAAAATGTTTAATTTGTCCTTTCAAATACAAATATTTAACATTAAACCGCTGAAGTTCTTTTGCCCCGATTAATTAATTACGGTATACCCAGATTTCATTCCACGATTTTCAGCCATCGCCCACCCGATCTGTCGGTCGTTTCACAAACGCTGTATCATTATGCGTTGTGCGTTACGTAGATCACCTATAAGTGACATTCAATTCCAATTGTATTACTGAATGATTATTAGAACGTTTAAATGTCTGGTATTGTCGGTTAGGAATAGACAGTAAATACGTGTAGTGCGGTGTGAATGTAATTCGAACGGTTTAATTTCCAATTGTGACCTACGGGACAAGCATTCGTGAAACGATAACTCGTATTGCCCGTTATCTTTTGTAATAATTATTTTTAGATTCTGGACGATGCCGGGAATGTATAGCCGCGCGTGCGTGCCGAACCGATCGCGACAACAATTCGGACGGCGTCGCGTCGTCGAACCGCTCGCGCCGATCGATCGTTGGTCGGTTTTTTGACGGGCGCAACGCGTGCCCGTTGCGACTTCGGACCGCACGTCGCGTCAAATACAATCGTTTAATTAAACGGTCGAAACAATCGGTTTTCGTTATGGAGTTGGTTAGAGGACGGACACTGTGCGCCTCGTCGGTGTCTACCATTGACGAAAAACTTTATGGTGGGATCCAAACGCGAGGATCGTTTCGAAAAACGTTTAAAGGAGGACGCGCGAAGGGGGGGGAAACCGCCGGTGATTCTTTTTTTCGTGTTTTTCCTCCAAACGGGGCCGTCGATACGGTCGCCAGCGGCTCGCGCGTGTGTACGCGGCTCGTTGGTTTTACAATTATTTTTTTTCTCTCATTTCGCGAACAACTTTTCCACCAGAAATTTCGCTCAGATTTTCAACGTTTCGAGATTTTTCAAATGTAACGTTGTAATTATTACGGATGGGTGGGGTCAAACGTCGCGTCTTACCCACGACGTTTTCAGTTATGTATAGGTAAGGTTAAGAAGGTTGCGGACCCGTCTAAGGCCCCCTCCCCCCCGTCGACAGATCCCGGGGCTACGCCGCTGCGGGTACTTGCGGTTGATAATATTATTGAATTATTCCGTACTCTCGTCCGGACGTACACCGTTTTAATATAGTTATTAGAATATTTTATCATCTAAAACTACTGCAATGTTACATCGATCGCTGCAATTCATTGTCGTGAGTAGGTGTGTACACACACACACACACACACACATATATATACATATATATATGTGTGTGTGCGTTATAGTTGAAACCCGAAATCCCGTCAAAACTAGTTTCGACTAGTCGAAACTAGAATTGACTACAGATTTCGATAAGTCAGTCAAAACTAGTTTTTACAGAAACTCGTGTACTCCCCGACCGGCACAACATAAAAAACCACTGAACCCTGTAGCGTTCAGTTAAGAGTTCAGTGCAATTAAAACGCGCGCAATTACATGCGGTCCACAAATATTGGTCCGGATGTTCCATAAGTTCGGCCGGCCGGCCATCAAACCAATTGAGACGACTTTAACCGGTCGTCCGTCAAATCACTTTTAGATACACCCAATTAGTCCGATCGTACCTAATAGATAATAGTTCTGCTGCTGTAGCTTTTGTCCCCCTTGTTTACGGTTTTGCCAGTTCGTTCGGCCGCGTTGTAGCCGCTGTACCCGCGCGTGCGTTCGTCTCGCGCGACTGCTTTAAAGTATCGAAGTAGAAATTGCGGATTTCCACTGGACAATTCTAGTTGTCGCCGAATTTATTTCGGACACAACTAGTTCTAATCAAACGAAAATAAGTCAATTCTGGTTTTAACTAGTCAAAACTAGAATTGACTTGTGGGGGGGGTGATTTGTGGAAACTCTGGTTTTGACGGTAACAATATTTATATAATATTCGGGTAGCGTACGGATTACGCGAGTGTACCTAACCAGAGTAGGTATAGGTGTCCACATTACAAAATAATTACGGTGTGCGTGTTTGTTTAGATGGGATAATCATTTTTCGAGTCCGGCATTAGGTACACAGTTGTGCGCAGTAAAATTGTGTGCGGTTTACAAACGAACACCCTCGTTGCGAATATTACGGTACGGCTGAATTGCACACACGACGGTTCGGCAAACAAACGCATTATTAACAGATATTCTTTTGCAAAACGATTCGTACAACACCGTGACCCATAATGTACGGGCTACACGACGGAACGCAGCGATTCCACGCATAACCGTAAATCCGATTTCAATTTTTTCGTTAACCGTTTACAACCGTAGCTGTTTGCCTGTAGGTCAGACATTACACCCGTCGTTTTTCCGACAATTTGACAATCGAAACGGCAACAATATTGTTTCGACATATCACACCAATGCACAGATAGATATGCGTAGACGCGTATAAGTGGTGTTACAGTGCGGAAGTCGATCGCGGTAAACTCATGTAGGCGTCCTACACAACGACAATGATTATCGGTATGTAAAGTGTAAACCGAATATACGCGCGGGCCGCGCGTACACGTGAACAAATAATCATAAATTACTTGCAGACGGGTACCCAGTAAACACAGTGGCGGCTAGCCCCGACGGTTCAAAAGCGCACGGGTACGCAATCCGTTACGGGCGCATATTTTGAGGATAAAAAAAAAAACGGATGAAGTGGTAATACGCACACAGAGAGACACGCATAGGCGTAACACGTAAAGAGATCGAACGTCTCGAACGAGTTTTGTTCTGTTCGATAATTTTAAGTTTTTTTTTTTTTTTTTTTTCTTGTGATACGACTCCAAGTCCCAAAGCTGAGCATTAACCGATTATAAATTTAAAATGTCACTTTTATTCATAACTTTGGAATTATTCGAAAATCACAAGAAATCATAAGAACGGTGTAATCGGGTCACACGTCATAATCAATATCTATACGTTTATATAATTATATAATTTTCAAAATCCGAATTATTTTTTTCTTGCTGCCAAAATACAGAAAAAAAAATTAAGTGAAAATAATCGTAATACGCCTGCTCTATGAGACATGAAAGTTTTCTCTGTAAAGCGCGTTTTAGAGCAAATTATACGAATCGGAACAAAACGTTATTCCAAACAAACTCAGGTTAAGAACAATGTAATTTCGCATTATGGCCGTTAACACCCGTATCGCCATTCAGCCTTTTGAATTTAGTTTCACGGGTCCATTGAAAGGGGTACCGCGAGATGAAGAAAAAAAAAAACGCAATTCGACGCGAGTCGATTTTCGGCGTCGTCGGTGCGCGCATAATATGATTTCGTTTTTATTTTTGTCGACCATTTTTCGCCATTTTATTGGTTATCTACTTACATATTATTAACGGTTATCGATACGCGAATGTATTTAGATAAGATAAAAAGGCGTAAAAACGATCACTACCTATACACACGTACATGTTAAAAAAACGCCGCCGCCCACGTTTCGTGGTTTTCGATTATGTGACCGTCCGCGATTAACCGTTTAAGACTAGCTCGGCGTGCTACCTACGTAAGTTTAATTTTTCAATTTTCTTTTTCTGATTGTCTAAAAAAACGCGCAGCGATCATGTGTAACTAACATAATAGTTAATAAATGTGACTGGTAGGCGTATTTAGATTTTTCATCCGTTATCAGCTATCGCTTATAACGCAGTCATCAATTATCTTTCAGATTGCATGCCTATTTTATTGTCTTAAATCTTTTTCATGTTTGGAATAACTCGATTTCACGTTCTCACGGCTGAGTTTCGTGTTTTAAGCTTCACTGCTTCAGATTTTAATTCGTGTGCCTGTTGGTTTGTTTCTCTTTCAAAAATGTGTGGACCAAAAAAAAATAAAAACGATTAAAGATCTTTTTTAAAAACAACTCTATTAATAGTACCAAATTTTACAGTAAGGTTCGACAACAATTTAATTATTTTCATTCGACATTTATGTACAATATTAGGCGTTGTATACTCAATCAAGGCTTGGCTAGTGTGACCAGACCCGTTCTAGTTGGGAATGTGATCAATTTTTTAAGTCTAGTCGGAACGATAAGATGTACCGATTTCATAGTTTATTCAATGTAATGTTCAATATTAACAGAGATACTACGAAAACGTCCAATATTATTATTATTAGGTTATCTGCGTTTATTGCTCGGTGCTCATGACGGGGCGGATTTACAAAGTAAGTTGGAGTATTGGTGAATTAAAAACTACTAATTATAACATTTCTCAGCGCCACCAGAAACATAAATTACAATTTATTGTGTTGTAAAATATTACCTATGTATATATTCTATTAACATTTGATTTTTCACTGTACAATAATTATTAAACTTTAAATATAAATAATTGAACAGTTTCTTAACTCTATTAGTTAGAAAATTTTAAAAATCTGTAACAAGTTAAGATATTTTTTATTTTTTTTTATTAGCTTTAAGTAAGTTTAAATATTTAGTATATTATTTTTGGGCGCGCACGAATTGCCTCCCACCTGACCCTCAAATCGCCTCCCGTGATTTTTTTTTTTAAAAAAAGTTTCTTGAATTGCCTACCGATTTCAAAAATATCATTCACTCGAATTGCTTTCTGTTTTAGCTAGTGACCTTTTTGTATTTTTGTATAGGAATCGATTTTTTTTAAAACTAAAAACAAATATACATAGGTATTAGGTACACAATATTAGTACACACGTGGCATTATTAGACATGAGTACACGGTATTAGATAATGAGTCGATGTCAAAAAAGCAAATAGATATATGTACCGTATCAAAATTTCACGTAATAAAAATCAATAAAAAATATTAATTAGATAGTCAACTAATCTACTGATAATCAGTTATCGATAAGATCGCATTCGAAAAATTAATCTGTCTGGGAAATACTATAATATGTATACGTTATTATAAATGATAAAAATAATATTTTTCGAGTATACTCGAATCGCCTCCGAAAATACCCGGATGAAATTCAAGTGAAAAAAGGTCACCTACCTGAATTTTGGGGGGGGGGCGACTCGAGAGTAACTGTCTTAAATAGTTAAATTATACCATAATAGGTAGTAGGTACATGAGTACATAAATGAAAACTTAAAACAATCAAAACATATAATAATGAACTATAAATGATATTTCTCATGGTTATAGTCTTTTAAAGTCTGTATGCCTATATTGGCTATATTGACATTTGAAATGCAGGACTGACGATTGAAGTTTAAAGCGTTGTTTGATGTAGGGCAAATCAAATATATATAGGCCTTGTATTAATCAAGAGAGAGAGGACAATCCTGCCCAATATAGAACGATTGGCGACCTTATTGGGCCAAGTGCACATGGGTGGGTCACTGTTGTAGATAAGAACTTGGGAAGGTAGAATGGAAATTCGTGCGCAACCATTGCAGCTAACGAAAGACTATTCTGAGCGAAGTTCGGTTTAGAATGTCGCTTAGTCAACAATATAGGTACATGTTGTATTATGGTAAAATTGCATATTACATATTATGGTATGCATTCATATATTTTCTTTAAATAATATTTGTTTAATATTGTACCTGTTTTACGGTTTTTCCCATTTATTATGAAAACCGTCGGGAAAATAGAAAAATGTCCTCCTAAGGCCCTACAGTACCATCCCAGTCAGATTTACTTTCAGAAAAAGTACTACAATCGAAATAAAAAAAAAATTAAACGTCATTGTAAATTCAGAATCTAATACAGAAAAGAAAAGATAATTGCCCGTTTCCGACAAACACTCTTAATAACTTAATGAGCGCAGAGAAAAAAAAAAAAAATGTTTTTTGTCCGTTTTTTATTGACTCAAACTAATGCCACGGCCTTGATTCGGAGCCCCCGAATGTGATGTGCTCGTGGCTCATCGCCCGCCTTCCCACTCTATCGTTTTAAGCGCCGTATCCACCACTGTCTAGTTGTGTTTCGATTCTCTGAAAATCATGATAAAGTGAATATTTATAACACGGCTTAAGATACGTATATATTTATTACGTATCTACCTACCTATAAATCACAGACTAAGATATACCTAATAGGTACCTCACAATGTAACAGGCTAAATGCCTGTAATACACCCATATATCATGTACCTACCCATCTGTCTAATAAGCACATCTCAGTAGTAACACGTTTTGGCCCACGACAATACTATGTAACGTTATAAAAATAAATTATTATCTTAAATCGTGATTTTAAAATAAAATTAATAAAAATATTTATTTTATCACAGTTGGTATCTGTTATCAACTATTTTTTTTTACTGTGACAATAATTGATTAGTAGTTACCGTTATTCGTTATCGTCTTGAACCAGATTTGTCATCACAATTTATCGTTTGTTTTTATTTGTCGTGTGCAGTTGCCAGTTTGATGATTGCCGTTTGCCGTTTATCGAGTTTTGCATTGTTGTGTTAGGTCTGTGTACATCCAATATCGTAATTTCCCGATAATAATAATATTGAAAACTTATTTTAAAACTAATTAATTTGTACCAATATATTTTGTTTTATTTTTACGATTAGTGTTTCAAACGGCGATGGTTCTGTAATTTCAGTGCTCGTAGAAATAAACCAATAACAAATGAGTTCTGGAGCCCCTCCGATGGATGGAGTCTCGTTCTCCGGGAATACCGGGGAGAAAATACCATTGATGAATTGCCGTCGTCAAGTCATCGATTACTTCGCACGGGTATTTGGTAACTCGAGTACCCACTCCGAAGACACAAACAAAGATGGGTACGTCGAATTTGGCAATATTGGCGAGGCGACAAGTAGCCGTACCCTAGGAATGTTTGCAGGAGTATTTGCCCCTGTTTGTTTGTCAATGTTCAGCGCCATGCTGTTCCTGCGAGTGGGTATGGTAACGCATAAATGTATGATTTTAATTTTTAACAAATACCTACTAAAATGTTGACAACATTTTCTGTTCCGTTTATATTGTTTAGGATTCGTTGTTGGAAATGCTGGCCTCATTGAAACATTGATTCAATTCGCTATCGCCTATATAATCATTGTTTTCACCGTTATGTCTGTTTGTGCTATATCAACCAATGGTGCCGTGGAAGGAGGTGGTGCTTATTGTATCCTTTGGCGTGTTTTTATAACTAACTTGTTAAAATAATTTAGTATCCTTGTATTATAATTATTTCCTTATCTTAACTAATAGTTATGATTAGTAGAACATTGGGTCCGGAACTTGGAGGATCAATAGGAACATTATTTTTTTTGGCAAATATCGTTAGTAGTGCTCTCTGTCTCACTGGTTGTGTAGAAGGACTTATCGACAATTTCGGAGTATCTGGTAAGGTCACTTTTAATAAATATTGTAGATGTAGGATCAACTATGAATACTTTTTACAAAGTGAAATATAGTATTTGTTATACTATATTTCATTATATAGTTGATTTTTAAATTCATAAATTCATTTTACATAGGTACCTATAATATCATTCGATAATAATTTTATCCACATATTACTATTATGGAACATATGGCATCAGTATGATTTATTATTTTGTATATGATTTTAGGTTACTTAATGCCAAAAGGTACTTACATTTTAGAAGATGGTCATTGGTGGAGATTAATGTATACATCATCATTGAACTTTCTAAACTTACTAATCTGCCTAATTGGTGCATCATTATTTGCAAAAACTACTGTAATCATATTTGTTATAGTTGTAATATGCCTACTTTCATCATTTCTAAGTTTTTTTATACAATCTTCATTGCAAGTAAGATAAAAACTTTAAAAAAATCTATTTTTACATAAATTGAATGTATTATTATTTTTTTTTTTTTTTAAATTTTAGGTGCCCGGAAATACTCCCATGAATCAAACAAATGAAACAGTTTTATTAAATTACACTTATACTGGCTTTAGTTTGAATACTTTAACAGCAAATTTAGGTCCTGATTTTGGTATTGACTATACATCAGGTAATGTTGCAGTTACCTTTTCATCAGCGTTTGGTGTACTTTTTTGTGGTGTAACTGGAATTATGGCTGGGGCAAATATGTCTGGTAAAAAATAAAAATTGTTTAAATATTAAAATTACAGATTTATAATATTTCCATATTTTTTTTTAGGTAATTTGAAGAATCCTTCTAAAAGCATACCTCAAGGAACCCTAGGTGGAGTACTGTTTACTTTCATATCTTACATTAGTTTATCTATCCTTGTTGCTGCTACATGTTCACGGGATTTGCTTCAAAAGAATTACGTGTTCCTAATGCCTATTAATATTTGGCCTCCTTTTATTTCAATTGGTATATTGACTGCTACATTTTCAGCTAGTCTTAGCTGTTTGATCGGTGCTAGTAGAGTGCTCGAAGCATTATCAAAAGACTGTATTTATGGTAAGACTAAAAGAAATATTCATATTATTTTACATCAAACTAAAATATTTGATTATGTATCAACATTTATTATATCAATGATTAAACAATTCATAATTTATTTAAATAGGATTGAACAATATTTACTAAATAATATAAAACTTATATTTTATTTTTAGGTAGTTTATTACAATTTGTTAACTATGGAGTCTGGCGTTCCAATCCTATTGCAGCAGTAATTTTCTCGTGGGTATTAGTACAAATGATTTTGTTTATTGGATCACTCAACACAATTGCTCAGCTCAACTCCATTCTATTCTTATTGGCATATGTAGCACTTAATTTGACCTGTCTCGGTTTGGAACTTACTTCAGCACCTAATTTTAGGTATGAACTCAGTTTATATTTATTAACATAATAATTTTAACTAGTTATGCAAATATGAATGCATAAAATAATTACAAAATATAATTTAATTTTATATTCTGTAGGCCGTCTTTCAAGTATTTTTCATCATGGACCTGTTCATTAGGTTTAATAGGAAGTGTTATAATGATGTTTGTCATAAATCCGTTCTATGCCTCTACCAGTTTCGGCCTATGTTTATTACTTATACTTTTATTACACTTTTTTTCACCATGCAAGGCATCTGAATGGGGATCAATATCTCAAGCTTTAATATTTCATCAGGTATGATTATTTTACTTGGACCACCCAAGATAAGTTTAAATCTGCACAACTATTGATCATAACATGATTACAGGTGCGTAAGTATCTATTGTTGTTAGATTCAAGAAAAAGCCATGTGAAATTTTGGAGACCTCAAATGTTGTTAATGATTGCTAATCCTCGGTCATCTTGTCCCAGTATAACTTTCATTAATGATCTCAAAAAAAGTGGTTTATTTGTATTGGGACATGTTAAGGTCGGTGAGGTAGAAGGCAATTTAGATTATACAGACAAAAACATATCGCCCTGGCTAACTCTTGTGGATCACGTGAAAGTAATAACTACATGGCTACATACAAATATATTTTAGTGATTGAATTTTTCTTAATCGTAAGAATTATGTTTCATTATTATAGGTAAAAGCTTTCATTGAACTGACCGTGGCAAAAAGCGTACGGGAAGGAATGCATCATCTTATAAGGATATCGGGTATGGGTGCAATGAAGCCTAACACAGTTGTACTCGGGTTCTATGATGACAAAATGCCACTCGATTATTTTAATAGGTATGTAAGCTAATTATAATAATAAAACTAAAAAGAAAAATAATTGAATACATTTAATTGGTATTATAATAGGTTGGATTCACATTATAAAACTACTTTATTCCAAGGAATAAGCTCTAACGAAGAGAAATTTCCTTTGAGACCAAAAAACAAAAAAGACTTATCCCCATCTGAATTTGTATCTATGATCTGCGATGTATTTTTGATGCACAAGAATGTGTGCATTTGTCGACATTTTGATTTGTATAACAAAAACGATATCATTAAGTATGATTATATTATTAATTTATTGTTTGAACTGTTTTTTTTTTTTTTTTTTTTTATCATTAAATAACTATTTCATTTTTAGAAACAACAAGTACAAATACATTGATGTTTGGCCTGTCAACTTCTTTGATCCTTCAATGAATGATGCATATGACACCAGCAGTTTGTTTATGTTACAGTTATCCTGTATTATCAAAATGATTGCAGTATATAAAAAATATAAGTTAAGAGTCCATTTGCTTAACACTATGGATATTCAAAGTCAGCGAGTACAATTAAAACAACTATTGTCTTCTCTTAGAATTAAAGCTACAATTCATGAGGTACATATCATGGAATTTAATTTTAAACATTTTTCATCTCAATTGTTTTTTTTACACTAGGTTCAAAATTGGTCTCAAATTAATAATGATAGTGACAAAAATGTGTACATCTCGAGGTAATTGTTAAATTTAAGTTGTTTGTGGTTAATTTGAATCAATATATAAAGATTATTATAATTTATTTATTTTATTTAATGTTCTTGTTTAGGGTGAATCAACTGATTAGAGACCATTGTGCTGAAACAGTTATATGTTTTGTTTATTTACCAATACCAAAAGAATTGCATGGATCTGATTTACAAAATGTTAGTTATTTAAATACACTTACTGATCTGACCAATAATCTACCACCTACAATTCTTGTACATGGTGTGAGCCCAGTGACATCTACGACCTTATAAAAAATCTATTTACACTATTTATACTCGAATTAACCAAAAATTAATTATGTTAAAAATTTAAATAATTATTGTATCTGTTAATTTTACTGATTCCATAAAATATAAAATATATATATATATATATATATATATATATTTTTTTTTTTATATTTTCTATAATATATATTGTGATACTATTTTAAAAATATAATAATAAGAAAATAATATGCAATATATAATGTATACAAATTTTTTATATGTTGTAAATTTGTAACACATTATTAAATGATTTTATGTGCAACTCCTCAAATTAACCTTAAACTATAATGACAAATGAAACATTCTAATGATTATACTCCAATCATATAAGATGGTATTCACCCAATGTTAATTTCCATTTCATTCAGTATTTTTAATTTTCAACAACACATTGCAAAGAACCAACAACAGAGTTGTGGCATCCGTATTGCACTAAATGTTGACTGTTTCGAGTTGACCGTACATATGCAGTGTAGTGTTTTTTCCGGTGAAGTATTTTAAAACTTCTTACAAGACATTACAATACATGTGCCTATACATGTGAAAACAGAAATCAGAAATTAGATTGTTAAAATGGTTCGATAGGTACAAATGTACCTATCAGTTTTGTTATGATAATTTTTTTTTCAAACAAAGATTACCAACTCAAAACCACAACATTTAATCATTAATTTTCATTTACCAATCATTGTTTATGGCTGTTTTGTAATAAACTTTTTCATTAATAGTCTACACTGTAATTTCAGTTTAAAATATTAATACTAGTACAAATTTTTTTTAAAAATAAATTTTATTGAAAATATTCTTTTCACATTGAAATTAAGAAGTAGAATAATTAAACTATTGTAATATTTAATTTAACACATAGTACAATACAATAATTACGAATTTTTTAAAGGAAAATTATATATACATATAAATGACAGTTTAGTCATCTAAATCCACTTGGGTTTTACTTATAATATTTAATTTATTTTCCAATATTGTATTTTCTTCCCTTAGTTTGTCTATGGCTTTTTTGTATTTGTCGATTTCTAGTCTGTACTGTTTTTTTTTTTTTTTTTTAACATAATTTTAGTTTTATTTTATTTTCGGCATAGGTAAACAATATTATTTACCTTTTTAGATATCATGCTTTGTCGTTCGGCTATTTTCAATTCTGCTTGTTTGATCTTATCATCCAATTCAGAATTCTTGACACTGAATGAATTCCACACTCTGTCCAATTTGTTTTCCAATTCTTCCACTTGAACATAAAACCACATAATTTTAATATTATAAAACTTTTAAAAAAAAACACAGGTAAGTATTGTTTTTGTGTTTGATACCAACCTTCTGCTTCAAATTTGTTTTCTAATATATTTGTTTTGGTCTAAAACAAAAATTTTAAAACAATGAAAAAATATCATAACCAAATTTGTGTAGATTACTTAATTTGGATCTGTTCAAATACTGGATTACTGATCCGGTTGACCAAAATGTGATAGTCCATAAAATCATGATTGATAAAATCAATGCAGATTATTACGAAATTCAGTTAAATTAAAAATTACGTAATCCACTTGGTCATTTCATTATGACTATCTACAATATTGCCATTAGAATTTTTCTGTATCGCTGTTACAAATTTTATTAACTTTTAAGTTTTTTCCTCCCATTTTATTCGGAACAAATTATAATTTTTTTTTGATATTGATGTATTGAACGGATTTTTAAAATCTAATGGGTTCAATTTTTGTTTAAATAAAGATTGATTAAACTTTTGTTCGGAAACAAACCACATATTAATACTCAGAGTTGCTAAACGACCAATGTATATCTGTTTATTCGTTTTTATTTTAATAGTAATTTAAATGGTTTTTGGATAATCTTAATTATGTATTTACAGAAATTTAGTAATAATAATTATGTTATAATATGAAACCTTACAGAAAAAAAAAAAAAAAAATCAAATATTACACCTTATACGTAATAGTACACACCTTCTGTAGACTTTCCAGATGCACATTCAATAGGTGGTGTACTTCTGAAACGATACGCAATAAAATTTACCGCAAAACATTAAATGTTAACCCTACTATAATGTCTGACCATTGATTAAATATGCTTAATCAATGGCAGGTGTTCATGTATCACAGGCAGGTATAGTCATTAATTATGTAGGCACCTACTTAAACAACGAAATCTATGCTTAATATATAATTTTGTTTCAATCGCTATTAACACATATTTGTATAGATACTAACTGGTCTGCTCTGATACCTTGTCCACGACCGTTTCCACGTTGGGATTTTCCATTTTCAGTTTATTCAATTTGTTTTGATAATCATCAATTACAGAATTGAGACCGGCCAATTTTTCTTCCAAAGCGGACTCTTCAGTTTGCAGCAATTGTAAACTGTTTGTCAAATCGTTCATATACTGTATCAAACGTAACGGCAGTTAGGTAGGTTTACAATTACAACAATACCTATCGATTAATCACGTAAGTATTGTAACCCAAGTCGTCATTGTAGTCATTTTGTCTAAGTGTCGTAAAATATTAATACCCACGTGTAAATAAAGCCATACATTACTTACATTACAACAAGTAAATAAAATAATTAGTGGGTATGAATTATTCGAAAGTTGGGTGGCTCAGTCGGAGAAAAAAAATATGTTCGTTGTACTTGATCAAAATCTAAAATTACTTTTTCAAATCCAACCAATCTGGCTTCCAGGGCCCTGGCTTCTTTTAATAGTTTCTCATCGTTCATTTCAAAAAAAAAAAAAAAACAAAACAAAATCTACATTGTTCAAAACTAAATAAACACGTACGAATTCGATATCGCGCGAATTAAATAAAATCGGGTTTTCTTAAAGAGATTTTAAAGCGTGAAAAGATTGACGGAAAACATATTACCCGTTTATTATAATATTAGTCGTGTGGGGCGGGTATCAACGGTCGGTGGCCGATGATCGAAATGTGCGGGACTCTGTGGCGGCGCTTAACCCTTCGACTAAAGAAACGTGAAATAAAAACCCACGGACATTGTATAACTATGTAGTTATGTAATACTATGTATCTGTGTAAAAATCGGTTACTCTTTTCTGTTATCAGTTCTACAGGGTCGAGTGGTTTTTTTATTTTTATTTTCCGCGGTATTATCTTAATAGGCAATCGGACGAAAATAAAGAATTTTTGTTTTTTTTTTTTTTTTTTTGTAATTCGGTTTAAAATACCTATTCGCGGGCATACAAAGTTCGTAGAATATTACTATACTATTAACATTATAAAGAGGAACGATTTTGATGCTTGTAACGGATAAACTCAAAAACTATTGAAGTTCTTTCGCCATTAATATGCTACATTATCCCCGAGTAACATAGGCTATATTTATTACTAGAAAAAAAAAAATAGGGATCCCTACGAGAATTGCGACAATTAGGTTTTCAGGTATTTTTGGTAATTGTTTATTTATTTGTTTTTTGTTTACTCGTGGGTTACCTTGGTGATATGGATGATAATTTGGTTATCACGGGCAAGAAAAATATTATTATTATTATTATTACCGTTGTTTACACTATTATCTAGTAATAGTAAAGCATGTGCACTAGGGTGTCCCACGACATAAGGGCGAACATTTTTTTTTTTTTGTGAAATCAGACACGCATACCCGCCTGTTTATTTTTCATTTGATCCTAATAACTCAATTATGAAATATTACCGCCTTGGAATGTCTAGAACCCGTGCCGAATTAACGTCAAACTTTTAAACAGAATTCGGGCTGTAGGAAATATGGGATAACTTAAAATCGTATTTAGTTTTAAGAAATAAAACACCAATTGGTTCAAATTATGCATTCATTGCAATTTTAAATTAATATTATTGAACATATTTTATTTTCAACGTATTTTTTATGACAGTCGGGATACGTTCTTTTGTGCTCTTGTACACAACGTAATGAAAATTGTTTTTGTTCCTCTTCTACTGTAATTGAACCACGAGAGTTTTGTATCAGCTTTACAGCCCTTTCGGCTGTATTGGTCACAACTGTAAGGGTCGACACTTATACCTATAATATTATACTTTCGTATAGCTTATAATAGATTGCCTATATAATTGTATCGTAACGATAAAGTACGCTGGTGTTTTGTCGGTGGGCTCTGTCGTACCTATGGTAGTGAGGTATAGTGCAGACCACGCATTAAGATGTACAGGATACCGACCGGAAAGGTCTTATCAATGTTTTTCTTTTTGAGTCCGTCCGGTTCTGACTATTTGGCATGACAGCTAGCGCTTTAAGGTATATTTGGTATAAGTTCGAGCTTTACTTATCACACGTTCGTTCGGTACCCTGTATATCTTAATTCGTGGTGGAGACTAAAAAACGGAATACACGTGATGTTATAGCAGTATTGATTTTCTATGAAAATACACCACTGACATGGGTGACTGTTAACAAATATTATAATTTGCACTGGCTTTTTAAAAATCTCCGAGCACCACTGCTTGTACCTAAAACTATATTAATATACCTGTACATTATGTTATAGGTACCCAACTATACATTATGTTAAACTGTTTAACGCGATTTTTATATTTTTGAACCGTAGGTATTTATGGTATTTTGTCTGTCCGCTGCGGAAGTTATTATTTTTTTTTTTTTTATAAACGATTATATTAAAATCGGAACTATCGCATTTCGCATTTATGCTCTCGTCTATTTATAGAACGTATTTATGAATACTAAATACGATGTCATAATACGAATAATTGATAGATACCTAAAACTTAACGTCAAAAGTGTCCGGGTTTCGAGTTTAAGTCCGCGGAACGCTGGACGTTCGTCAAAACGGTAGAATGAAATATTTATTACGCCGGTCGCCTTAGCGACGACCGTTCTTACAAAAATAACACGGATGTTATTGCTGGTTTGAAATAATTCTATCGGAAAACCGTTGGCTAGTTAAATACACAAACAAATCAACTGTTGCTTCGTGGATACGGTCGCCGGAAAAGTTAACGAGGGCCCGGCAACCGAGTAAACAACCTTAGTGTGCGATCCGAACAAATACGTAAGAATAATATTAATTAAGAATATCAAATTTAAAGTTCAATATACCTAATAGTATAGTTTTTGTTTTTTGGTTTTTTTTTTAGCCTTTTGATTCTCCTGCACATTCGTGCGCGTCATCGTCTTCGTATAACTTCCAATACTACGATCAACATGATGTTCACCGTGGTTTCGCTAATAGAGGGCATGCTTTTCACGGCGATCTTGATGCTACTGCTACTGTGTTGGCTAAGCGAAGCAAATACGAACATTGCCGTCCTAGTGTGGAACGCAATCGTTCTAATAAGGTACGGCGCGTATATCCGAAAAACCGTTTTATGTTGTTTTTTGTCCGTTCTAAAATGAGTAATCGGTGTCTTACATCTGGCGAGTCTATGCCAATGGACGCGCCTCGTCATCGTTACTCGTCGGCGAATAAAGCCGACGACCGCGGTACGCCTTTGCCGTCACTCGCCGGCAAAGGCGTTTTCCTATGAGAAATATACGCGAACAATATCGTTTCCCGTGTCCGCGGCTGAGCTGGATTTTCATGCGGATTTTAATGGGCCGGCGTAGGTACCTACGGTTTTATTCGCTGACGAACGGCGCGTGTAAATTCGCCAAACGTTATCCGACGTCACTGCCAAATGCAGATATAGCCGATATTGTACGGACATTTTTTTTTTTGCATATTAACTGTCCAGGTATACAATGTACATTTTTAGTCGGTATCTAATGACCGATTCATCGTCGCTCGACCCGAACCGCCGCGGGGTCTAGTAACTCGAAGTTCAGCACGGAAGTTTATTATATTTCGCACAACGATAATACATAATAGGCAACTGTATACTATATGTTGTAGAAACTGCAAAGGATTTTTAGAAATTCGACCACCGATGACCGGCGCTCGCGCATACGTTGTTTTGTTCCTTAAAATACGGAAATTGCGATTTTTCTCTTTTCTGTTCACTTCTGGATTCTATTTTTTATGCGCGCGAGAAGAAAACTGTACTGTTTTCATTTTGTTACATTTTTTAATCCGAGTGTCGTAAAATAATCCACGTGCGTGAAATTTGTCACTGGCAAGACTGTTGCCTTCAAACCTTACCTATACAAGTAAACTACTATTCGTAATTTCGATGATCCGGCAAGAAACGAACGGTTAGTAATGACATTACCCCGAAAAAATATAGCGTCATTAATATGTGTGTTATAAAATACAGAAATTTATATTGTTTTTTTTTTTTTTTTTTGTCTAATCCTTCTGTGTTACGCATTTAATTTATAATATAATAATGAAAACTTATACGTGTATCTAAACGGAAAGTTCGATCTCTGTTGTCCGGGGTTTACTACCTGCTCGATTTGCGTCATTACTAATTATGCATATGATAGTATTTTAAGTGTGTTAGAAATTATTGTAATACATGTTAGATTTATGAGTTTTAAATTTAATTACAGAAACGTTTGTCAAGTGATAATAAATGACGATTGCAAATATGAGGACCCGGATGTCGGAGAACCCGAGTCAGCGGATTCTTCCGTTAATCAAGCTTGTGATCAAGCTTCGAGTACTTTGACAGCTGACCTCGTTTCACCGCCATTCCCCCTTTACGTTTGGTCTTCACAGTCGGGAGATAATGCCACCCAAAGTATCGGTAAATATACATTCTAAGATAGACTTCCGTATAAAAACTATGACAAATACCTATCTACCTACCTGCCTCCTAATAAATTATTGTTGATTTAATGTAGACGAATCCTGCATGGAGAGCATAATCCGAGTGGTCAATTTGACAATTAGAGGGGCCCAACCCGTCGAAAAAACTATAAAATATTTTCAATTTATTTTGTTTGATTTGAATATGGGAGAGGTAATAATACTATCGATATTCGTTGTATGTATTCATTTTTTTCCATCTTGTTACAATTATTTTTATTTTCACTATTTATTTATTACCAATATTTAATAATTTATCATAAAGAAAAAAAAAAAATGTTTATGTTACATTGCGATCATAGTTATGTAATTTAAAAAATTAAATTATTTTAACATTTCGCAGCAAATGTATAGGCGTATTTATTGCCACTTGCACGATCAGTTGGTTTGGTGGTATTATCGTACTGTCGATTCGGAATTGGAGATAGTTGGGGAAATTTATGGAGGGTTTATAGTCCTAGGAATGAGACTGTAAGTGGTTTTCTAAGGTTTCAGTATAAATAATTACACTTATAAGTTAGATTGCATAATATGTGTTTTTTTTTTTAGCAATTTACCGGACGATTGGAAGCCGAGTGCCAGAATGGTTTTAAACCATTTAGAAAATTATGACATTAAATATTTAAACTTCGCCCGTTCCGCATTTAAACAATTAAACAAAGATTTACCGCATCAGTATTCACATCTAATCAAGGTATGTTCAGAAAAAAAAAAAAAAAATTACTGTTAATGTATTATTTTATATTTATACAATTTCTTAGAACGATTAATCGAATTAATATTCGATTCACAGATTAAACAATATAGCAAATAATAATATAGTAGGCAATGGAATAGCCAATGAGTATCGCAAAGTATCATTTTCTTATCGGAAACATCGATAACAACTTATCGGTATTTACAAAACTCAGATAAGAATTACTTAACGATCACTACCGCCATATTATGTTCTTAAAATATGGTGGTAGGTAACACGTGAACAATAGAAGAAAACTGAGATTTTTGTACGGCGAAATGATTCTCGTGATAATCTCTTACTTACATATTATACTTTGCTACCGCAAAATATGCATCTCCAGAGACTGCGTGCGTTGGTTCTGGTGAATTTTTACGATATTATATATACCGAACGTACCGTAGGTATAGTGGTAGCTAACAATGAGTAATAAAATGTCAAAAATAAAATAATTGATCAGTAAATAAATAACCATTTTGTGTTAGTGAAACTATACAAATTGTCTCACGATATTATTATAACCAAACGTACCTACTTATATTTTCAGGAAATGATCGATAAGCCACGGATAAACAACATACGAAAAAAGAAGCATATTGTCCTGCCGTCCTATGCGTATAGCTATGAGTATTTGTGAAATAACGTTTTATCCGTTATTTTTCTTTAAATTATTGTTTTTTTAGTTGATTACTTTGATACGTTATTTTTACATTTTTTTTTATACCTTTGATACCAAAGTTCGATTTGGCCAAACGTTAAACGAAGATTGAAATTATTGAGAACCCATATTATGTTGTATTTTTTATTATTGTTTTTGTATTTAATTACTTTGTTACATTTTTTTTTATATCTTTGTTACTACAGTCAAATGTACAATTGTGTTATTGTTATTTTTTTTTTATTCGATTAACTTTTGTGGTACCTTCTTATACCTTTGTTATTAAACTTTGTTAAATATATGAATAAAACATCTATTCGTGTGTTGATTTTTGGAAATGTTTTGATTGATTTCAATACTAAAACAATACTACAAAGTAAGGTTCATGAAGCTACAACGTAGCTGCTACATAATTTTGACGTTGACATGAAAAATTCCATTATGTGCTAAAACCTAACTTAACTTTATAGGAAATACAAAAAATATCCACATTCAACATTTTCCAAATAACAAAAGGGTAATTTTAATATTTAAAACTTTAGATTAAATGGTTTCGATCACAGAAAAATTATCAATAACTGAATTAAAATCAACCGTCTTTGTGATTTCTTCTTATGATCTCATCAAATGTGAAAAACCGAAAAAAAACGGGAAAATGTACGAATTATATTAGTTAAATATTGGGATTTTTTTTTTCTGTAGACCACTTTTCTACCGGAAATTTTGCTCCGATTCACAATAGCACTTTTTCTAAATTGAAATCTGACTGGGGAGGTACTTTAGAGAATTCATTTTTCGATTTTTTCAACAAACGGGAAAAACGGGAAAATCGATACATTAAACAAATACCATTAAAAAAAATACACAATGTCTGTTTAATTATTTTACCTTAATATGATATATGTATTGTTGACAAAGCATTACAATTAATTGAACTCTGCTCAGAATCGATTTTTCGTTAGTAAAGGTTTATCGTAACTTACAGATTTACATTAAATTCCCTTCTATATCATACCTTTTGAACTTTCCACCTACAACAGTGGCTGCACCCGTCCCCATTATCCTAGGACATTTTTTTTTTTTTTTTATATTCAGTTACTCCGAATAAAAATATGTAGATATCCAATAACGATTTCACAAAGTAGCTACGATACATACACGATTAGGTAATTATTAATTATGTTCTGGAAAAACGGAAAATTATAATTCGAATTTCAATGTATGATCTAATTAAATTTGGATTAAATATAATGTAGGGTATACCTGTTCGTCATGTAGTTTACAACCGATATCATATGACAGTTATGACTGCCAGCGAAGTATATGTATGCAATTTCTTATACATTTCACTTTAATATATAATTATTAGCGTATCCGAACATCAAAATCGGCGGAATCGATTTTATGAGAAATATACGTGTATAACAGTTGGACCACGAAATCACCCTGTATATTCTGTGAGCGGGTAAACTCTTATTATCGTGTGTAGTACCGGTGAACAATACAATTATTGCCCAAGCGTTGAGCGCAATGTATCAATGGCCCAAGTACCTATCTGTATAATATCTGCAAACGATATCTGCAAGGAATTGTAAAATCGCATGCGGTGTATCATAATAAGAGGTATACCATATTATATTGTTATATTGTTTATTACAAATAATCATATATTATATGTAATGAAAAAATAATATTATTTATTTATAGGTATTTGTATTACATTGTATATATATATATATGTATAAAAAAATTACAAGATTGTGGTTTTTTTACATGTCATCAAAAAAGAAATGAACTCGGAGTTTTGTTTTCGAAACGAAAAGAAAACTCGTGAGGATAAAAAAAAAAAAAAACTGAGCGAATTTCCGTCATCGTCGTCTTAATAATACTGTTGTGGGCAGTCAGCGCGTGGGCAGGCGGGCGAGTAAGTGCGAGTAAGCAATCGGGCAAAATCGGGCGATCAGTATTTGTTGTAACCGTATCCGGTGGAGTGCGGGTACGAGCTGTAGCCCTTGTTGTAACCGGAGTAACCGTGGTTACCGTAGTAGTCGTTGTCGTAGTAGCTGTTTTGGCCGTAACCAGAGCTGTATGATCCCGGGTAGTTGTAGCTGTTGCTGTACGAGTAGGCCGACGGGTATTTGTAGCTCTGGTCGTATCCGCCGTAGTACTGGTTGTTACCGTAGCCGTAACCGGTGCTCGGGTACTTGTTGTAGCCGGACGAGTAGCCCGCGCCGCTGTAACCGATGGACGACGGGTAGCTGGACGGGTAGCCGGACGAATAGCTGGACGGGTAGCTGCTGTAACCGCTGCTGTAGCCGTTGTACGCCGGGTAGCTGCTGTAACCGCTATTGTAACCGCCGGTGCTGTAACCGCCGCTGTAGCCGGTCGGGTAGCTGTTGTAACCGCCCGAGAACACTGTTCGGACAAACGCGAAAATCGTAAATCGTTTACGGTCAACAATGTAATGCAATAACAGTATATGATAGGCCGGCGATGACATCGGTCGATCGTGATAGTAAAAACCGGCGAATTTTCGTGTTATGAAAAATCGGAGGGGCCGCGAATAGCGCGCGGCCGGCGAGGTGATCGAATCCGCTAAGTCTGCAAAGGGCACGGGAAACGCGCGAAGATTTTTCAGCAAACGGAAGACTCCGAAAACGCGTACGGAAAAACGAACGAATTGTACGTAAAAAATGTATTAAAATACGAGCAGAGACGACTTGAATTTAGTTTTGGCGGTTCATTGAATTTCTAGTCGGGTCGTTAAAACGTCGAACGAACGCCACCGACTATACGATCACGCGATAGATTCTTACGGCTTAATTCCGTGTTTTTGGTCTTGTACGATTGGCGGAAACGAATAAAAAATAATATTACAATCAATGAACTATTGGTTCAAACCGTGTACTCCTAGATCCTTAGACTAAAAATATGTGTGTTTAAACTATATTATATTTTGTACTATTGAGTTGTATTTTTTTCTTTAATGAACAAAATCAATAAAATTAAAAAAAAAATTAAAAGTTTTGGACTGTGCGTATTATATTGGTGAAGGGGGGGGAAGGAGGGTTGACATCACACACCCCGTCTAACCTCGTGTTAGGTTATTATATTATTATAACCACCGAAAAAAATAAAAATGTTCTCATTTCAGACCATCTATCTGTTGTACGCCGAGAATTATTATGATATTTTTCAAAAAAAAATTATGATATTAAATTATTTAAAAAAAAAAAAAAACGCGTAATACAAAACCGTGCGGACACGAAACCGCGGCGAAGGTCGAGACGATCCGAATTTCGGAAGGAAAAAAAAAAGAGAAAAAAAAAGACACGGTTCCGTTAGCATCACGGACGTTCACACGTGAACAACACGCGAAACGGACATAGTGATGGATTTCCGTAAGCGTACAGGTAAACATCCGCCGACGACGGCGACGACGATTTTCTTTTTCCCCGTTGTTTTGTTTTATTATACCTACCTGTATCTGTAGATATTACATGGAAAAAAAAATAAAAATAACACGCGCGTTTACTCGTATTATGTAAATATATGACCGGAGACGGTTAGGTATTACAGTGTACGCGCGTGTCGTCGTCGGGACCTTGGCCGGAGTACTTTTCGGGTAAATAATAACATGGCGCGTGTGAGTGTGTGTGTGTGTGTGCGCGCGCGTTTGTAATACGACATTATACTATTACAGTATACTGTATACCGTGAGAGATTTTTTAAATTTTTTTATTGGTATACGTCGGGAAAATCCCGCGTATATTACGACGCGATTCGTGTTTAATATATGCGAAGACACACGCGCACGCACAGAGAGACGTCACCGATTGAGTTCTCGAGTCGTCGGTTTTGAGCGACGTAAATGTATGGCGAAAAAAAAAAAAAAATCCTGTGTAGTGAACGTTATCGGGACACGGGGTTAAATGCGGAAAATCTATCCAAAACCGAGGGCGTCCGAAAATCCACGGCGGGCGACTGTATTATGTCATTTTTTATACGTATTTTTCGATTGACTCTTTTGTTAAACTGTTTACGAGCCGTGCGTAGGTACGGAAAAGTTAGAGGGGTGGGCATGCCCAACCCCTCAATGAACGACCATGGCCGAAACTATCGTAATGGCTTTTAGCGGAATAATGCATATCATAATGGTTCAAAAATGCTCTAAAAATGGAAAAAATCGGCGAAAAATGCGAAAGTAATAGTTTCACTTTTATTTAGTTAGTTGTTATTTGTTTGAGACCGGGCCGATGACGTTAATAATGATAAGGTAAAGACGATGTCGAAATCGTAAATAGAAAGATTGAAAATCCGTGTTGATGATTAAGATGACTTAAAACTCAATGAATGAAATAAAACTCAACGTGCGGATGGCACAAAAACAGAATTTCTCGAGATAATAATATATAGTTTTTAATTAAAATATAAATTTTTTGATCAGTGAGTAAAACATGTGCGCGTAAAACTAACGAAACGATCGAAAATGCCAACAATTGGAAAAACAGCGAATGATTGGGCGGGGGAATGTATTAAAGTTTGAACTTTTGAAGTAGGTATTTGTTACATTTGTCGAATTGTGTATATCTATTCGGAAAATATTGTCTTAGATTATTCGTTTTGCGTTGAAATCCGACGTCCTCCGGGTCCTAGTATTTTATCATAATATTATGTATACGGTTTTGTACCCCGCCCAGCATCCCCCGGACACCGGATGCATTCGCGTTTTCACCTCATGCACCGTGCCCACCTGTGCATCGCGAACATATTGAAATCATTAATAAAGACGCGTGAAAATGTTCGTTATTTTTTTTTTTTATGGATTTGGTTTTCGAACGATCGTGTTTATACGACAGTATAGTTATCGTTGGATTCGGAATTATTCGAAATATGTTATGTTTGGGAGTTGAATTTTTCGCCGTACAAAAATCGTAGGACTGAAAGTATCGCGTTTTCTATCGGGCGTAGTGAAATAGCGCACGATCGATACGGAATGATAACAACCATTGTATGTTGCACACGAAATAATAAAGACCCGCGAAAAAACTTTATCGGAAATGTCCGTAAACGAATTTTCGATCTACGGCAATTTGCCGGTATAACACCGTCTGTATAAGGTAATTAGTCAAGTAAAACGTATACTCACGTCGTCCCGTGGCCGCCGGCGTCAGATCTTTTTCTTGCGATCGTTTCTCCACGACTTTGGCGTCTTTTTTGGCTTCTTCGCTCTGGGCCAGAGCTACGGCCACGGCCAACACGACGAATACCTACGAGAAGACGAAATCGTCATTATAATATAGTAAAGTCGAGAAGAAAAAATTTAAATAGACAACAAGAACCGTCTGGTGAAATACGGCGTATAGGTCGGTATACTCACTTTGACGAAGGCGTTCATATTGGAAGTTTTTTGTTCTGACCGGTTGTCGGGTGTATATGTGAGACTGTTGTACCGGTTGTACTGTGTGCAGCGACTAGAAGACGAAGTGGATGTGATGATGAAGAAGAGTCGGCCGAGAGTTTATATACGCGGAGCCGGTCGGCGCGACCCCACCCGTTGACGTTTCGATAACCCTGGACACGCTGCTGTCGCGGTATAGGAGTCTGCGGTTCAACGCCGCCGCCGCCGCCGTCCTTTTTGCGGGTCTTACGGGGAGCTTGAGAGTAAAAAAAAAAAAAAAAAACGAACGTGATTTATTCAAATATTAATATTTTTACGTCGCGAAGGTCGTGAGAGAATTGCTATTTTTCTTCCCCTCCGCCGGGAAAAAAAAAAAAAACATCGCGGGCACGTACCCGTGTTATGTTGTTATTATTGCACGCGATGGTCGATACGATCGCCAGGGAGACCGACTGCGTATAGCATTACACAGTGGTTTAGCGTTATGGACGGACCGCACCGTCGCCATTCGTCGCAGTCGCCGGATAACGTTCACGGAGTGATACCCCAGTACTGTTATTATTTTATTATAATCCGTTTTGTACACCGGCTATTATTTTTGTACGTTTTCCATTCGGAATGCTGCAAGTCGTCCGCGAATACAAACGCTACGCGCGCAAACGGTTTTCGTCCATTTACTGTCCGTTTGTTTGTTTGTTTTTCTTTTTTTCACTTTGCCCGACACTTTATCACGGCGCTCGTTTTTGCCCCGGAAACAACTTTTCCGCTGGACATATCGCGCCGGTTTCCCAAAGCGAATTGTATAATCTGCAATGCGTAGTCGGCGCGTCGGGGAGACGATTTTTTCGTTATATATCCTATAGCTGGAGTTATCCAAACGGTCGAGAAAAAACGTATAACAAAAACGGCAAAATTTACGGCAATATAACGATTTCATTATTTTCGATTTTGTACGCCCCATTCAAAACCCATTGGTTTTACAACAATGTTTATTGCATATAATTTTTTACTATTTTTTTAATTTTTTTTGTCTGCAAACAACTTTCCTACCAGAAATCTCGCTTCGATTTTTAAGCGTAATACTTTTTCGAAAGGAAATTTTATCTGGGTGGTACTTTAAGAAGGTAATTTTTCGATTTTCCAAGCGGTTTTCATAAAAATCGAGAACAAACGTAGAAAAAAACGGGAAATGTACGATATGTATTATTTTCAACTTTGTTTCTTGTTATGATTCAGTTAGAAATATTCGTAGAGACTTGAAATTTGGACATAAAACTCATATTTGCCTTTTCTAGACGCGGTAAAATTTTCGAAACATTCTCGCGATTTTCGTGCTATTTATAGGCATTCGATATGTTTTTTCTCTTTAGGACGGCGTTAAAGTCACCGGAGACTTCGTGTCCGAAAAATAAGGCAATGCAAATTTCATATTTAATATTGTGCCGTCCGGTAGTTTTTTCACATTTTTTACGGGTCGTACGAGTTGTGCCCGGTATACAATTTCCATTTTTCTTTCTCTTAAGTTTTAAACTATAGGCGTATTTTGGTTTTTTTTTTTTCAATTTTTGTGACTCGTTGTTCAAACTATGTAATATTCTGATCCACAAAGCCATAACTCGTTTTACTTTTTTTTTTAAAATTATTCCACAATAACTCTCAAATCGATTTTTTTTCCTTTTATAACACGATTGCCGAATAAGACGCGTTCGTTCGAATAATTTACAAACGTTTCGTTATCTGGCCAGTTACCGGATTTCGACTAACGTATATCGTATACGCGTGTACACGTTTTCTAAAACAAACTTTTGTTAATTATTAATTATTGCTATATATCTCCTGTTATTTTTAATGTGAAATCATTTTTTTTTCACGATATTTACAATATTCGTATGCATTGATCGCCGATTAATAAAATTATGTAATCACATAATTTTGTCTATCCAAAATCGACTACATTATAATACTATTGTTTATTCACGTTGTAAATATAATTAAAACATAATAATTGCGCTCGATATATACAAATATACAATGTACACAAATAAAGTCCAGAATATAGTTTTTTTTTTTTTTTTACCTTTTTAAAGATATTATGATTAAAATAATGTTCTTTTAAACTGCAGCAGTACACGCGTTTTTAACGAGTTCTATAATATACAAAAAAGTTTCGAGTTATTAAAATATGTGACTACATTAAGAAATTCAGGGGTAGTTGAAATGCGCTTGTCTAAATTATAACCTTTTGAAGCGCAGGATTTTTTTGCATTCGGATCAAAAAACAAGTAGAAAATTATCGAACTCTATTATATAACTCCATATGTTCGACATATTTATGTCGAAAAGGTGATATTTGAAAAAATAAAACCTAACTAAAAAGTTTTTGGAAACATTAATTTACCTTCCTACTTATGAGCTTATGACCGGTAACGATTAAAACGATTAAAAATTAAAAGCTTTTTTTTTTAAAGTTGTCAAATTATCTGTATAATTTAATCCAATTATTTTTTGTAACAATTGTAAAAAATTGAATTTAAACTCCATTTTGGTAACTGATTGTTGAGCATAATACAAGGTAATGTAATAACATTGTGTTCGTAAATTACGTTTTTTTTTTTTCTGGTATTGACGGTATCGTGCAGTTGAAGGTTTTGTGTGTATTTGTAATTATGTTGACTGTGAAACATCAATAAATTATACATGCATATCGCATATACATATGCATATATATATATATATTTGGATGCGGCGAAGAAAAGGATTTATTAAACTCTGCTGGGAAAAAAGGTGTAGTGTTTGTTTTATTTACAGTGTTGTTGACTAGAAACTATTTTTCCGAAGCCCAAATGTCAGCCGGAAAAAAGTGTCTTATTATTTAGAAATAAAATTACATCTATACTAAATTACAAAACGTTATTTTCCAGGATAGTTGATATAGAATATTTCATTTGAGGGCTGCCAAATTCAACTGAATTTAATAACTTAAATAAAATATTCGTATATTACGAATCCATTTTCCAATTTCAAATGTTTACAAAAAATAATTTTACGAAATAATAATAACAACTTGACAAGTTCAAAAATTATTTTGAATTACATACAGATAAAAAAAAACCCTAATTTTTAACCACGCTAATGATTAAAAATTATAAGTGGAAAGGACGACGAGTAATTTCAAAACTATGATTTTGAATTGAGTTTTTTTTTTTCGATAAATTTTATTGAAATATATTTTTTGAACCGAGTGCGGTTTCAATTCTAGTAAAATAAAGCTTGATTCGATTCTGCGATTCGGAGTAATATGATCGACATCTTCCCGGAAGAAAATTTTATCGATCCTAGCGGAAAAAAAACTGTAGTAATCAATATTATTATTTTAAACATTTTACAAAAAAGAAGACTAGTGATATTTTTTATGTCAATTCAATTTATTCGGAGATAAACGTTAAGAATGGATCACGGTGAAATTGTCCGCCGGGAAATATATCGAAAATGCGTTCACGTAAAAGGAACGATAAGGAATTTAAATTGGATTTTAGAGACAAAACACCCGTTATAATATAATGCGAATAACAACATTTTCTTAAACAACATTATCGTCATTTTTTCAAAAATTAATTACTGAAAGAGTTAGTTATTAAAAAAAATTTTCGTTATCGAAAATTAGGATTTAGAATTTAGATTATAGGTTAGTTGTTGTTGCGAGTAACGCATTTTTACAACATGTGTTTTTATCTCTAAAACCGAGATCTTTTCGGTTGTGGAGATAAAAACTTTTCGTTTGTGTTACGCGATGAACACATTACTTCTGCATAATTGCCCGTCAGAAAGACAGATCGCACGGAGACTTACTAAGGGACCGATGTATCGCAATTATTCGAGCTTTATTATATTCGAAACGAAGACCGAATGTGTATTATAATGATTGTAATGGCTCGACAAGAATCTCCGAGTGTTGGAACGATTTCGTTCTCATTAAAAATGCCATTCAACGGGAGTCCGTTTAGAGTAAACGATTCGTACGCGTCCTATGAATTCAGCTTGTTGTGGTGATACATTTGCCCGAAACACGGGATATATACGACGGCATACGTTTTCTTTTACCTTTATATAGACCAGGCCATATTCACGTTGCCGGCAAACTGTATACTCAATTGTAACATATAAACCGTCGTCGCTGTAATTATTTTATATAATCGTATAGTAAAATGTGACGATTATTAACCAATAGTAACATAATCGTATTATTACATTAGAACGCGAATAATAATTATACCCGCGCAACAGTTTGAAATAATTATTATAAATATTAACTATACCTATATATATATAAAGAGAGAGAGATTTTCACACGGTCAATATTGAACTTGCGCATTTGCGGCTGGGTATACGGTGCAAAAATGTACTCGAGAAAAAAAAAATGGTTTATTTTATTTTTTATCCGTCGTGAAAGTATGTATAGACAGACCATTAACGTGTCTGTCACTATATAGTAGCGTTTATCCTATAATTTAAGTGTTGCTTCAGCGACGTATACAAAATTTGCAGGTTGGTGGGTAGGCGAGTGTACGTTGCAGGTAACATGTTTTGGCGGTACGCATACCTTATTAAGTTTGAAAAAATACTAATGTATTTTTGTCCAGTTATTATGTTTTCTACAAAACACCACTTCCAATAATCTCATGAAGATGGATTGGTGGGTCATAGGAAATATCCTTAGCAACACATAACAGTAAACAGTATACAGTCACTGTATACAGGGTGATGTTTTTTTATCATGAACCAGCAATTATCTCAGAGGAGTTTAGACCGGAGGACTAGGGAAGGGTAATAAATTGCTCATCTATAATCCTTCCCTACTCCTCTGGTCTAAACTTTAAAGTGTTGTAACTCATAAACGGTAAATCTGATATTATAGTGTTACGCATATTAACATTTCTAGAAAAATATTTTCTATTCAAATCTGCGTTCGAAATGGGGAGTTCCTATTTGAAAATCAAAAGTACCTATGCACTTATTTAAGGTGTTTAGAGTAGGGGTAAAAAAGCTGAAAATGGTTTTAAAATAAAGCTTAAACGATTCTATAATGCTTGAAAAAA